ACTTAAATATATTTATTTATTCATTTTAAAATAATAATAATAATGAACTCACTACCTGCTAACATAAATGACCTATTTTATGAAAAATAACTGTCTTCTAAAATAAACTAAATTAGTGAGATTAGCCACCCTTCACATTTTTGCAAATCTCTTTAATAGCTAGTTCTGTAGAAGACAGCTGGTTTCTCCTATCTGCTTCTGCATTCAATCTACTGTGGTACCACAGGCCGTGTATACTCTGGAAAAATCCACTATACATTTGTGAGAGTATGAGAGAGAAAAAGGGTAAATAACATCTTAGTATTATATGAAAACAGTTTTGACTTTGAGGACACCTGAAAGGGTCTTGCACAAAATCCCAGGGTCCCCAGATCATACTTTGAGAATCACTGTTCTAAAATAATTTTTGAGATGTACTTTTTTTTCTCAAATGAAATTTACAATTTTTAGATGTCAGTATTTTTTTTAATAGACCTTTATTGGAGTATAATTGCTTCACAATACTGTGTTAGTTTCTGTTGTATAACAAAGTGAATGGGCCATATGCATACACATGTCCCCATATCCCCTCCCTCTTGAGCCTCCCTTCCACCCTCCCTATCCCACCCCTCTAGGTCATCGCAAAGCACCGAGCTGATCTCCCTGCTATGCTGCTGCTTCCCACTAGCTATCTATTTTACATTCGGTAGTGTATATACGTCAATGCTACTCTCACTTCCCACCAGCTTCCCCCTCCACCCCGACCCCCCGTGTCCTCAAGTCCATTCTCTATGTCTAAGACGTCAGTATGTTAACTGGTTTTAGTGGTGCCTTCCACTTCTTTCATTGATATAACAGAACTTTGCTCGTATTGATTTCCTGACTCTCTTATTATAGGGTATCAGCAAATAATTTGTTCCAGACAGTGTGTCAGTAAGAATGGGGTAGATTATTCTATTGGAACAAACATTTCTAAAATCTCAGTGGGTCACCAGCTGCTTAAGGGAACCCTCATCTTGGACTGTCTCTAGCTGATGAACAGCCGCCATCTGAAATGACAGCCACTGTAGCAGAGAAACAGTGAGCATGGCTCACAGGTGCTGGCTCCAAATTCTTCTGCCAAAGCTACACCCATCAGCCCAAGGAGGCAGGAAGGTGCAACCCTACCTTTGCCCAGAAGTAAAGAAAATAGAGCATTGAAAACTGTGTGACCAACACAGAGGGTGCATACGTAAAATGTTTTCTGAGCCTCTGCACAGCTATTTTGCCTTCACACATGAATGATTGAACAGGGGGTGTATTTGTTAGTCATTTCCTTTTACTTCTGAATCTACATACACACTTGAATGACTGCTTTAGACATTTAGATGTTTCAAATTTACTTTTCATTTTTCCTTTAGATTTTTTTTTTTCCAGCTATGTGCTGGGGAAATTCCCTTGTCTTTATCTTATGACCATTTTAGTTAAACTTTTGTTTGTTTGTTTGTTTTGTTTTGTTTTTTTGTGGTACGCAGGCCTCTCACTGTTGTGGCCTCTCCCGTTGCGGAGCACAGGTTCCGGACGCGCAGGCTCAGCGGCCATGGCTCACAGGCCCAGCCGCTCCGCGGCATGTGGGATCCTCCCGGACCAGGGCACGAACCCGTGTTCCCTGCATCAGCAGGCAGACTCTCAACCACCGCACCACCAGGGAAGCCCTAGTTAAATTAAAAAAAAAAAATTTTCAGCAATCACTTTAAATTTCCAGGCCCATTTTCTTATTTTCTTGTTTTTTCTTCATGGCATCCTGGACATAGTATCTTCTCCAGTGTGTATGAAAATTGTTTTTTAGAAACTGTCTTCTGTTCCCTGTAGTATTTCTATTTGTTCTGGAGTCATTTTTGCTCTCTGCTCATCTTGGTTCTGCCCCCTTTGTGCTGTTAGTTTCCACAAATATCTGTGGCCTGTTATTGTTTTTTCATTCTTAAGGGTGAGGCACTGATAAGCTAGCTTGGAACTGCATTTAATGAGATGGGCTTGAAAACCTGTGGCTTTGCTGGGTAAATCCCAAATGCCCAAAGGTGAAGACTCTTTTTCTGTGTCATTTACATTTTTCTTAAGAGGAAACCTCTAGTTTCTTGCCTGGTTGCAGGAGTTCTGTATGGTGGGGTCAGGGAAGAGTTGGGGAGCACATTGTTTTGTATTTTCTCCTTTCAAACAATCCCTCTGTTTTCATTCTTGCATCTTCTTCCCCACCTCCACTACCTCCCCAGGGGCCAGTAAGACACGCTGGGCCCCTCTCTGACCTCTAGGAGCATCCTCCACCAGCAGTAATGATGAATGCTCTGACCACTTTTTCTTTTTCAGACTTTGGCTTAAGTTTTTCATCCAATCCCCTTCTCTTTGTCATTGTGACTCTAATTTCTTTACTATCATTTTAGAGGACTCTCCAATGAGCGAGGGGGAAAGCACTTGTTTTCAATCAGCTATCTTTTTTTTTTTTTTCACAGATTACACTTCCCCCTCCCCACATCCTCAAGTCCATTCTCTAGTAGGTCTGTGTCTTTATTCCTGTCTTACCCCTAGGTTCTTCATGACATTTTTTCCCCTTAGATTCCACATATATGTGTTAGCATACGGTATTTGTCTTTCTCTTTCTGACCCACTTCACTCTGCACAACAGACTCTAGGTCCATCCGCCTCACTACAAATAACCCAACTTTGCTTCTTTTTATGGCTGAGTAATATTCCACCATACACATGCACCACATCTTCCCCACCCATTCATCTGACGATGGACACCCGGGTTGCCCCCATCTCCTGGCCACTGTAAATAGAGCTGCAGTGAACATTTTGGTACATGACTCTTTCTGAACTATGGCCTTCCCAGGGCACATGCCCAGTAGTGGGTAAAAACATTTTTTTAAGGAATTCAGTGAAGGGATGGATTTTATTCTATCCTGATGCATATTTGGAGAATGGGAAGTTCCAATGACCCTTCTATGGTGGGATAAAAAAATCCTGAGTCTTTACAACTTTTAGAAATACAGAGAAGTTTATTAAGACATTATCAGAAAGGGGAACAATTTACCAAGTAAGAATCAGAATTATAAAGCTTTTTGAGTCTCTAAATTACTTCTCACAGGTGTGGTTATGTTTGAAATCCAGAGGTCTTCTATTTCTTCATGTATATAACACTTCCACAGGCAGGTTTAGACATAGAACAACCTGTCCTAGTTTTGAATATTCACACAAGTCTCTATATTAGACCAAAGAAAAAGACATATTCTCAATATTAATTGAAACTTTATCAGAGGAGTGGCTTTGACCTAATTTTATGATGTGGAATGCCATTCCTGCCTCTGCAGTTACAGATGGGAGAGGTCTAGCTCCTTTACACCTTCCTGAAATTTATTCTATTTGTTATTAACTAAGAAGATTTGCAGTTCAGTGGTAGGTTCTGTAGTATTATCTCTGTTTTTTTATTTCTTTGTCTGTAACTTTCTTTTTTTGTAATGTGTATTCATCAGGGTTCTTCAGAGAAACAGAACCAATAGGCTGTGTGTGTGTGTGTGTGTGTGTGTGTGTGTGTGTTTGTGTGCATATATATATAGAGAAAGAGATATTTATCGTAAGGAATTGGCTCACACATTAATGGAGGCCAGCAGGTCCAAAGTCTGCTATGCACCAGCAGGCTAGAGACCCAGCAGAGTCTCTGAAAGCACTCAGCTGGAGAATTCCTTTTTACTCAGGGAGGCTGGTCTTTTTGTTTTATTCAGGCCTTCAGCTGATTGGATGAGGCCCACCTACATTATGGAGGGCAAACTGCTTACTCAAAGTTCACCAATTTAAAATAAAATGTTAGTCTTATCCCCCAAACCCTCCACGCTGAGACATAAGATTAACCATCTGAGTATCATATAAATTCCTGTAAAGCTTTTACAATTTTAAAATTCAATGTTTTCCGAAGAGAGTTTGGGTGAAAGTCTTTTTACAGTAGTTTTGATTAGCACAGGGTAAACGCTTTCACTTCTATGTACAAGCCTTCCTTAAGCCCAGTGTATTCTTCTATTGCACCCTTGATTATTCTCTAAGTAAATAAATTCCATCTATTCTGGTCCTTGCACAAGAACATCATTTTACACACGTTGGCCCTCCATTGAGTGCCTATCATTGAAAAGAATGCAAATAACAAATGTTGGCTAGGATGTGGAGAAACGGGAACCCTCCTGCACAGTTGGTGGGAATGTAAATTGGTGCAACCACAGTGGAAAACAGCATGGAGGTTTCTCAAGAAACTAAAAATAGAACTACCATATGACCTAGCAATTCTACTCTTGGGTATATATCTGAAAAAAACAAAAACACCCATTCAAAAAGATACATGCACCCCAATGTTCCTAGAAGTATTATTTACAATTGCCAGTATAAGGAAGCAACCTAAGTGTCCATCAACAGATGAACAGATAAAGACGATATAGTGTATATGTATACAGTGGAATACTACTCAGCCATAAAAAAATGAATGAAGTTTTGCCAGTTGCCACAACACGGATGGGCTTGGAGGGCACTATACTAAGTGAAATAAGTCAGATAGAGAAAGACAAACACTGGATGATATCACTTATATGTGGAATGTAAAAAAATACAACCAACTAATGAACATAACAAAAAAGAGGCAGACTCAGATATAGAGAACAAACTAGTGGTTACCAGTAGAGAGAGAGGGGAATTTAGGGGTGATCGACTGGGAGATACAAACTATTGGGTGTAACATAGGCTACAAGGATATATTGTATAACATGGGGAATTATAGACAATATTTTGTCATAACTGTAAATGGAGTATAACCTTTAAAAATTGTATAAAAATATATGTAGTAAATATTCATGTAGAAAAATAGAATAGTCATTATAATATATAATTTTGTATATAAAAACATTCAGAAGCTGTAAAAAATAAATAAATAAAATAAAATCTTTTGACCTCCATGGGCCTCTCAGAAACTCAACACCTACTTTCATATTGTGTCTTTGTTTCTCAGAATGATCACAGGGGACCAGAACCCAGAGGAGCAGAACCCAGAGGAGCAGTTTTTCTATGAGTTCATATTCAGGCTCTTCAAAGAAAATAAGGTGGAGATTGCAAGTGCAATAACAAAGCCGTTCCCTTTCCTCATGGGCCTCCGAGACCGGGGCTTCATCCCTGAGCAGATGTATGAGGTAAGTGAGGAGAATTTCCTCATGATAACCTGCCAAATTTAGGATGCAATGAGCAGGCTAAAGATCCTCCTATGAACAGGGATGTTCGCCATCCTTTAAGTTAGGAGGGGAGAGGAGAAGCAGCATCACAGACAGCATCCCTTCTTCTGTAGTAAACGGGGGAGGCGCATGGCGATGGAGATGTGGCAACATTGGAATGGCGAGTAGGTAGGGAGCATCTTAGATATTTTGATACAATATGATAACAATAACAAAATTAAAGCAAATAAGTGAGTTGGGCAACATTTCATTACAAAGCCTTCTTATTTTACGCACTCGAGCCTGAAGTGATTGAACTCATAGGGAAGTCGTGTCACGCTAGGATAAATTTGGAAGCAGATGCTTGCTGCTCTCTCTCCAAATCGTTTCTTGCACTTTAGACATTTCCGGATACAGAATACAGGTAAAGGTTAACAATGGGCCTTCCTGGGGATACTGAGGACAAGTCTTTTTGTCTTTGTGAATTTTATTTGCCCTTTGGCAACGTTCACAGAAGGGGAGAGTGGTTACATGGTTTCCTGGAGGGAAGGGCAGTTATTGTCTGGTCAACTAAATGGCCTCTCAGTAACAGTAAGGACCACTCCTGAAGCATCCTGGCCAGGCTCTTAAAGCTCTCACACAACATTCTACTTTGAACCTACTTTTATTCTTCAAAATTGCTCTCTTAAGTGACCATCAATGTCAGAGAGACAGGTTAACAAAATGAGTCTATTTTTATGATGGAGAATATTTTAGAAGGCATCCAAATATGTGTAACATTCTAATATTTCACCAGAGAACAATTAGTCTATTTATAATCTGAGTCTCCTATAACCCATATACTCAAAGCTACATAATTCACCATTCAATATTTTTAAGCATTTTCAAGAAGCTTGTGCAAATCTGATCCCAGTGGAAAGTGTGGTGTATGATGCTCTCAGTGAACTGGAGAAGAAATTTGACAAGACAATTCTGGATGCCCTGTTCAGCAGAGTTAACCTGAAGGCCTATCCTGATTTACTTCAGATTTGCAGAAACTTCCAAAATGGTAATTATAACTTTCAACAACTTTTGGGGGTTCAAGTCCACTTCATTCACGGATTCATTCATTCACTCTTCATTATATTTGACAGTTATTATATTGAGTGACTACTACATGGCAGGCAGAGAAAATATACAATAGAGAAGAAAACACACATGACTTGTGTCCTCACGGAGCTTACACATAGTGGGGGCGACACCTTAGCCAAGTAATCCCACAAATGATTGCTCAGCCAGGACCTGAATTTGGTGCTGAGAAACATAGGATTTGAGTCTCTACTTTTCTGGAGGAAGGCATGAATTATGCCTTTTGTAGGAAAGGAGGTAGCCCTATCTGATACTTGCAGACATGTTCAAAGATGGAAAGATTTTCTTTATATTAAAAGATTTGTCATTCAATGCAGTCCTGTGTCCGAACAAAGAATGGAGAATTCACAAGAGAAGGCCAGCACATACCCATGCATTGGGGAGGGGGCAGCATGTGAAAGCTACAAAGTAGGAAAGGAACAGTGGACCTGCAGAACCATGTGGCTGAAAAAGGGAGCATGGGTGGGAGGGCTTGGAAGCTCATTCTGGAAAGGGGAGTTGGAGGTGATTTTTGAGGGTCTAACACCCTATGCCAAGGAATTTGAAGTTTATTATTTAGGAAATAAGATGTAATAAAGGATTTTTAAACAGAGAAAAAGTAAAAGAAGTCAGTATAAAGAATGAGATGTGTTTATTTGTGAAAATTATATCTTGTAAAATAAGAGCTATCTCATTTCTCCAGTATGATATCTAAGTCAGAAAAAGGAATAAAAGAAATCAAATACCTAGCCACAAATTTCAAGTCAATATTATATTTGTAGCCAGAACATCCCCAGGCCATAGGTAGGAAGGGAATGGCAGTTATTACTGCCCACATCTCAGGGGCTCTGATCCTCTCCCTGTACTGTAGGGATCCCCTCCCTGGACCCCAGCACCCACATCACATGTGTTAGTTTCCGGGGCTTCCTGTGCTGAGATCTCCTACACATGAGGCTTGCTGCTGCCCTCAAGCTTCACTGCCCACTGCCTGGCTCAGCGCAGCTGCCCACCTGCCCCCAGGGGAGGCTGCCACTGGTGCCTCCCAGACACTTTTGTGAGCGGCCCAGAGCCAAGATGCTGGTAAGAGGGGTCAGAGAAGCCTCCTGTCCCCCATCACTGAAATGCCTGCAACTGTAACACAAATGTACCTCCTGGGGGCAATACCCACTGACGGGTCAGGGCAGAGGGAGATGCTTTCTCCATCCCCAGGACATGTTGACTTTATGCCTAGGCCTCCTTATGTTCTCTAAACCTCTCACCCACATAACATTTACCCCCATGTCCTCTTCCAAAGTTGGCCTGGGCATGAAGTCAACGTGTCTTGGGGATGGAAAAAGCAGCTCCCTACTGCCCTGATCCCTCAGTGGGTATTGCCCCCAGGAGGTACAGTTGTGTTAGTATTCACTTCCCATCTGTGCCTTTCAGAAAATTTTCATTTCCTGTCTGTGTCTTTCACAATGTGTCTTTCCTTGTTTTCTGGATTTCTCCCCACCCATCCCACCCCAGGGAAGTGCTAGTTCCTCTTCACTGTATGTCTCTTTATAACCAGGTCTTCTTCCCTGGCCCAAGGTCTTTTTCCCTCCTTCCCTCCCTCCTTCCTTCCTTCCCTCCCTCCCTCCCTCCCTCCCTCCTTCCTTCCTTCCTTCCTTCCTTCCTTCCTTCCCTCCCTCCTTCCTTCCTTCCCTCCCTCCTTCCTTCCTTCCTTCCCTCCTTCCTTCCTTCCTTCCCTTCCTCCTTCCTTCCTTCCTTCCTTCCCTCCTTCCTTCCTTCCTTCCCTCCTTCCCTCCTTCCTTCCTTCCTGCCCTCCCTCCTTCCTTCCTTCCCTCCTTCCTTCCTTCCCTCCCTCCTTCCTTCCTTCCCTCCTTCCTTCTCTCCTTCCTTCCTTCCTTCCTTCCCTCCTTCCTTCCTTCCCTCCTTCCTTCCTTCCTTCCTTCCTTCCTTCCTTCCCTCCTTCCTTCCTTCCCTCCTTCCTTCCCTCCTTCCCTCCTTCCTTCCTTCCCTCCTTCCTTCCTTCCCTCCTTCCTTCCCTCCCTCCTTCCTTCCTTCCTTCCCTCCTTCCTTCCTTCCTTCCTTCCCTCCTTCCCTCCTTCCTTCCCTCCTTCCCTCCTTCCTTCCTTCCCTCCTTCCTTCCTTCCTTCCCTCCTTCCTTCCTTCCTTCTTTCCTTCCCTCCTTCCTTCCCTCCTTCCTTCCTTCCTTCCTCCCCTCCCTCCCTCCTTCCTTCCTTCCCTCCCTCCTTCCTTCCCTCCTTCCTTCCTTCCCTCCTTCCTTCCCTCCTTCCTTCCTTCCTTCCTTCCCTCCTTCCTTCCTTCCTTCCTTCCTTCCTTCCTTCCTTCCTTCCTTCCTTCCTTCCTTCCTTCCTTCCCTCCTTCCTTCCTTCCTTCCTTCCTTCCTTCCTTCCTTCCTTCCTTCCTTCCTTCCTTCCCTCCTTCCTTCCTTCCCTCCTTCCTTCCTTCCCTCCTTCCTTCCCTCCTTCCTTCCTTCCCTCCTTCCTTCCTTCCCTCCTTCCTTCCTTCCCTCCTTCCTTCCCTCCTTCCTTCCTTCCCTCCTTCCTTCCTTCCTTCCTTCCTTCCCTCCTTCCTTCCTTCCTTCCTTCCCTCCTTCCTTCCTTCCTTCCCTCCTTCCTTCCTTCCTTCCTTCCTTCTTCTCTCCCTCCTTTCCTTCCTTCCTTCTAAATCTCCATCTTCAAAAGATGTTAGGGCTTTTCTTCTATAATGTACGTGTATTTCTCTAGAAATATTAGCTTTCTCCTGAAGAAATCCCTCTGCTTATTCCTTGGTCTTAGTTGCACATAGAATTTACAAAACACATTCCACATGTATTATTTATTTTAAATTGGCTTTCACTGTTTTCTGATCATTTTGAAGGGGGTTGACCACTACTTACAACATTTTCACTGTCCATTCTTTTTTCTTTGTTTTTTAACATCTTTGTTAGAGTATAATTGCTTTACAATGGTGTGTTAGTTTCTGCTTTATAACAAAGTGAATCAGTTATGCATATACAGATGTCCCCATATCTCTTCCCTCTTGCATCTCTCTCCCTCCCACTCTTCCTATCCCACCCCTCTAGGTGGTCACAGAGCACCGAGCTGATCTCCATGTGCTATGCGGCTGCTTCCCACTAGCTATCTATTTTATGTTTGGTAGTGTATATATGTCCATGCCACTCTCTCACTATGTCCCAGCTTACCCTTCCCCCTCCCCATATCCTCAAGTCCATTCTCTAGTAGGTCTGCATCTTTATTCCTATTTTGCCCCTGGGTTCTTCTGACCATATTTTTTTCTTTTCTTAGATTCCATATATATGTGTTAGCATACGGTATTTGTTTTTCTCTTTCTGACTTACTTCACTCTGTATGACAGTCTTTAGTTCCATCCACCTCACTACAAATAGCTCAGTTTCATTCCTTTTTATGGCTGAGTAATATTCCATTGTATATATGTGCCACATCTTCTTTATCCATTCATTTGTTGATGGACACTTAGGTTGCTTACATGTTGAGGCTATTGTAAATAGAGCTGCAATGAACATTGTGGTACATGACTCTTTTTGAATGATGGTTTTCTCAGGGTATATGCCCAGTAGTGGGATTGCTGGGTCATATGGTCGTTCTACTGTTAGTTTTTTAAGGAACCTCCATACTGTTCTCCATAGTGGCTGTATCAATTTACATTCCCACCAACAGCGCAAGAGGGTTCCCTTTTCTCCACACCCTCTCCAGCATTTATTCTTTGTAGATTTTTTGATGATGGCCATTCAGACCGGTGTGAGATGATATCTCATTGTAGTTTTGATTTGCATTTCTCTAATGATTAATGATGTTGACCATCCTTTCATGTGTTTGTTGGCAATCTGTATATCTTCTTTGGAGAAATGTCTATTTAGGTCTTCTGCCCATTTTTGGATTGGGTTGTTTGTTTTTTTGTTATTGAGCTGCATGAGCTGCTTGTAAATTTTGGAGATTAATCCTTTGTCAGTTGCTTCATTTGCAAATATTTTCTCCCATTCTGAGGGTTGTCTTTTGGTCTTGTTTATGGTTTCCTTTGCTGTGCAAAAGCTTTGAAGTTTCATTAGGTCCCATTTGTTTATTTTTGTTTTTATTTCCATTTCTCTAGGAGGTGGGTCAAAAAGGATCTTGCTGTGATTTATGTCATAGAGTGTTCTGCCTATGTTTTCCTCTAAGAGTTTGATAGTTTCTGGCCTTACATTTAGGTCTTTAATCCATTTTGAGCTTATTTTTGTGTATGGTGTTAGGGAGTGATCTAATCTCATACTTTTACATGTACCTGTCCAGTTTTCCCAGCACCACTTATTGAAGAGGCTGTCCTTTCTCCACTGTATATTCCTGCCACCTTTATCAAAGATAAGGTGACCATATGTGCGTGGGTTTATCTCTGGGCTTTCTATCCTATTCCATTGATCTATCTTTCTGTTTTTGTGCCAGTACCATACTGTCTTGATTACTGTAGCTTTGTAGTATAGTCTGAAGTCAGGCAGCCTGATTCCTCCAGCTCCATTTTTTGTTCTCAAGATTGCTTTGGCTATTCGGGGTCTTTTGTGTTTCCATACAAATTGTGAAATTTTTTGTTCTAGTTCTGTGAAAAATGCCAGTGGTAGTTTGATAGGGATTGCATTGAATCTGTAGATTGCTTTCGGTAGTAGAATCATTTTCACAATGTTGATTCTTCCAATCCAAGAGCATGGTATATCTCTCCATCTATTTGTATCATCTTTAATGTCTTTCATCAGTGTCTTATAAATTTCTGCATATGGGTCTTTTGTCTCCTTAGGTAGGTTTATTCCTAGATATTTTATTCTTTTTGTTGCAGTGGTAAATGGGAGTGTTTTCTTAATTTCACTTTCAGATTTTTCATCATTAGCGTATAGGAATGCCAGAGATTTCTGTTCATCAGTTTTGTATCCTGCTACTTTACCAACTTCATTGATTAGCTCTAGTAGTTTTCTGGTAGTAGCTTTAGGATTCTCTATGTATAGTATCATGTCATCTGCAAACAGTGACAGCTTTACTTCTTCTTTTCCGATTTGGATTCCTTTATTTCTTTTTCTTCTCTGTTTACTGTGGCTAAAACTTCCAAAACTATGATGAATAACAGTGGTGAGAGTGGGCCACCTTGTCTTGTTCCTGATCTTAGTGGAAATGGTTTCAGTTTTTCACCATTGAGGACAATGTTGACTGTGGGTTTGTCATATATGGCCTTTATTATGTTGAGGTAAGTTCCCTCTGTGCCTACTTTCTGGAGGGTTTTTATCATAAATGGGTGTTGAATTTTGTCGAAAGGTTTCTTTACATCTATTGCGATGATCATATGGTTTTCCTCCTTCATATGTCCATTCTTTTTTAAAACTTGAGAGGTGCATTCAATGTGGAACAGCTGTTAGATTCCAGGAGCATTGTCAAGCCACAGGTCACATGAGGCCCACTTAAGTCCAGGGTTCCCTGAGGGCTGGAAGGTTCCCCCTGAACTATGGGGGTCAAGGATGTCCTGGATGTGTAACTATGAGGTGCAGCTCTTGGTCACTGTCTGGGATCTCTAATTGCCTTTCCTTTCTCTTCTCAGTGATTCGTGAAAACTTCCATTACCAAACCGTTGGTGAAGGAGAGACAAAGGAGACACTCAACTTAGAATTAAACTGTGAACAAGGTAATTCTGACTTGATAGAAGCTTGCTGTCTCATCTACTAAGAGGAAAGGTGATCATGGATCAGGGGACTGAGGTCCTGGTTGGAGAGTGCACCCTGGGGAAGGGATGCAGCAGGAGATGGGGAAGCCAGAGCAGTGGTGTATTGTATGGGCTCCCAATTAAACAGCCAGATCTGGAATTCAAGAATATTACTAGGCAGATGTGACATGAACATGAACCCAAGAGAGAAGATCTCACTGCAACCATGAGGCAGAATTAAGGGGGAGGACTGACAGCAGTAATTGTGAACAAGGAATACAGTGGATCTGGGAAGGAGTAAGGGTTTGTAACAAGTCCAAAGAGGAAGCCTTTGATGTGTCAAAGGGAGGAACAGTTGTAAACAGTACTCATAATAGAAGAAAACAAAGGAAGAGAGTGAGCAGTAATTGTGTGCAGGGTGTGGAAGAGATGGTGTTCTGTAGAAAAGAAGGAAAGGAGAAATGAAGGAGTAAAAAGGGGTGAAGAGAGCAAAGGGCAGTAATAACTCTGACTATGACAATAGTACAACACATAACATTCACAGACCACTAGGCGTAAGGTCAGTGCTTCATGTGCATCAACATGTTTAATGCTCACATATGCCTTATTTACTTTTGTAACCAGTATGCACCGTTTCTAGCTTTTAATCATCTTTTCATTCATATTATTACTAATAATTAATCATTAAATTCTAACACGTAAGACATTAATTGAAAATTATGATTTCTTGCTAAGTTACTATAACCCAGGTATCACTTTACCAGTAGCATCTCACTTAATTCTCATAACAATCCTGTCATAAGGGTTTTGTTATTCCCATTTTTCAGGGGAAGAAACTGAGGTGTGAAGATAGTTAGTGATTCAGTGAGTGAAACAGCCTTCAAGCCCAAGAAAATGTCTCCATCCTTAAGCCAAATGGTCTACAATAAATTTAGTTATTTGTTAAATGTTGATTTTTTTTTCTTGGAAATGACAAATGTAAGAAAAAGCCATAAGAATGGCCTTGCAGAATGCCATTAATATGTATCCTTAATTTGGATTTATACCTCAGATATTATATATTTTAGAGATGTATTAATACATTTATGTAACATTCAGATGTATTTTAATAATAATACTTATTCTTTTTAATGAAGACAAATAGCTAAAAGTATAAAATGTATATTAGAAAGTACAAAGTGTATCAGAAATATATTTAGAGATTCATCTACCACTGAGAATAGTGGGAATGAGAATGAGGTGGTGGAAGGATTTGTAATAGTTATTAGTAAAGAATAGAGGTTCATTATGAAAGGAAGGGGAAACAAATCCTTCAACATTCCTAATGTGATCTAGGTGACACCCTACCTAGAGCTAGAATCCCAGAGCATATCAGTGATGGGTGCAAATAAGTATAAGGGAAGAAGATTCATCTCGTGACCCAAATGGTACAATAAAAATCCAGGAAATGACGAATGAATGTGCCCGAGAATCTGAACAAGCAGTAAGGTTGACTGACAGTCCAATATTTGCCTGGATGACTGACTCTGAGTATGATAGCACATACAGGGAGGGAGGAAGGGGGGTGTCATGTGTTCATAATTCAGAAAGGAGGCCCCAGGGAGCTCCAAGGAACCCTGCTCCTCTCCCCAAGGGGCAGAGGAGTAGATCAGAGTTTAGGGTGAGGAGACATTTACTTACCAAGAAAGCGTATCTGGCTTTTGTGGTAAAGGGGAGAGGTAAAAAAACCACAAAGAGACAGAGAGGGTAGGACACTGGAATAGCATAGGTATAAAGGGTATAAAGAGTTGGAAGAGAAAAACTAGAGAGACAAAGGGGGAAGAGCCAGAAGCCTCACTGGGGAAGAGAGAGGCAGAAATACAAGGTGACAGGAGTGGCCAAGGAGAGAGACGCCCTCAGAAACAAGAATGCACAATCCTTCCTCGAGGAGACACAGTGTTGGGAAGAGGACTGTAAGTACAAATGTGAGAAGTGAAGAGAAGTAGAATGGATTTTAAAAAGATGGAAAATAAGGCAGAGCAAACATAGAAAAAATTAACCTCCCCTCCTGCTTCACACTATCCACAAAATATAATTCAAGTTGGATCACAAATCTAAAAGTTAAAGCTAAAACGATAAAGCTTCTAAAAGAAAACACAGGAGCATATCCTTGCAAATTTAGGGTTGACAAAAATTTGTTACATAGGACAGGAAAAGCATGGACCATAAAAGAAAAACTTGGTAAATTGCACTTCATCAAAATTAAAAACTACTAATCCAAAGACACCATTAAGAAAAGGAAAAGGCAAGTCATAGACTGGGAGAAAATATTTGCAATACATATATCTGACAAAGGATTGTACCTGGAATGTATTAAGAACTCCTACAAAAGAATAATAAAAAGACACACCACTAATTTAAAAAATGGACAAAAGACTTGAACAGACACTTCACTCAGAAGATATAAAATGACCAATAAGAACATAAACAAAGTATATATCATCATTAGTCATTGGGGAAATGCAAATTTCATTAGTCATTGGGGAAAAGCCACAGTGAGCTACCATTCGGTTACTAGAATTGCTAAAATTAAAAATACTGACAACAGCAAATGCTGATGAGACTATGGAACAATTAGAACTCCTTTATATACGTTGCTGGTTGGACTATAAAGTGATAGATATAACCACTTTGGAAAACTAGCAGTTTCCTATAAAGTTAAATATAACCCACAACCCAGCAGTCCTACTCCTAAGTATCTTTTCATAAGGAATGAAAACATATGTTCACACAAAGATTTGTACAACAGTGTTTATAGTAGCTTTATTCCTAATAGCTAAAATCTGGAACCAATTCAAATTCTCATCAATAAGAGAAAATAAACTGTGATATATTTATAGAATGGAACACTATTCAGCAATATAACAAATGAACTACTGGTATATGTAACCACATGGATGAATCTCAGAAACATTATGTTGAGAAAAAGAAGCCAGTCACAGGAGTATGTACTATGTGATCCTATTGATGTGAGCATCAGTACAGACAAGTATAGTACGAAAAAGGAAGGGCTTGTTAATGGTGATAGAAATCAAAACAGTGGTTGCTTATAGTGGGTGGAAACTGACTGGCGTGGTGGAAATGTTCCAAATCTTGACTGTGATGTTGGTCACAGAGCTGTTTTACACTTTAAATATGTGCATCTCAATGAAAAAGAGGCAAACAAGGCTCTGCTGGGCCTCAGATGGGGTCCTTGGAACTTGAACATCATCAGAGTTCATCTTGAGCACACAGAGGTCTCTTCTCTGGATACTGTCTGAGTTCTGTCTTTTTCTTGTTGCTCTCTTTAGTGTACTTGGAACATTCACCTCTCCAAATGAACAATGTAGTAAGGTTAGAAGATGTACCCAGCTTACTGCCATATGACAGACAAGGTAACTACTGTTTAATTTATCAATTCCATATTAAACCTTTGTTTTCTTGTCTTCATGGAAGCAAAGCCTACCTTCAGTCTCCTATCCTAGGCCTCTGCTAGCCCCCACTTCTCCTACCTGCCCCCCTCTTCTCCTACCTGCTCACTTATGCAACAGAGACAGTGAGAAAAGGAATCTGAGCTCCTGAGCAGATGGAGCATCCATTGATGGGGAATATAAAAAGAGAAAATTGAAAAGGTAGATAGGGTGTAATATGTGACCAATTACATGAATGGATCCAGTTTTCTTAAATCCCACTCATCCAGGTTGAGATAGGGGATAATTTTCAATTAATTTCACAGAACAACTAAGAGGAACTTGGAAACATCATGGCATGTCAGGTTCACGCGGGAGAACTGGCCAGTTGGAGGTCCCTGGTACTGTAGTCAGAGTCCAAGAAGAGAGTTTTGGAGATGATGAGAGGGGAGAACCTGGAGGATGAAATCACACAGAGAGACAAAAGTTGAATAGTGTTGGGAGACAGAGGTCAAAATAAAGTGAGAGAAACAGATGGAATGGGAGCAAGTGTAAGACACTGCAAAGAAGAGATAAACTGAAAAATTTCCCAAGAAACAGATAAAAGTTGAGAGTGAAAAGTATGGAAAGGGCAAGACCGAGAGGAAAATAAATACTAAGAATTGGTAAAAGTCAGGGAGATGTACAAAGGCAACTATGTAGAGAAAGAGTTGAAGGAGAATGGATGGAAAACAGGTTGAGAGTGAAAAGACAATAAAAGAGAGAGGAGCAGATCGGGACATTGTAGGCTTGAGGTAAGAGCACTGTATATAAGCAACTTTGGGCACAAGTGTTGGCAACATTAGCTGTGAGTTTTCAGATTAAACTGTCCTTAACCATAGAAGTGGCACTTGTAAAATACTCACATTGCAATAGTCCTCTCCCTGAATATTCCAGTGATTCCTATGACCAAATCACCACCCTAGATTGCCTTCAGAGTACATTTATCCGTGGACTCAAAGACCATGGTCTGCTAGATATCTACACGTGAATTCTTTCAAGAACTTTTAACTTGGCATTTCAGAACCAAAAGTAGCGTCTTCATCACTCAAGCTAGATCTAAACTCCTCTTCAGCATTCATGTTTCAGTGATGGATCCTTATTATCTCATAGGTTTTCAAGTTTGAAGTCTAGGCGTCACCGTGACTGCTCTTGCCCTCAAATAAATGCCTGTTACTCATCCAGTATAGTCATTTCTCTTCCAGAATATCTCCAAGCTGTCCATCTGTCATACCCCAAAGTCTTCAGACCTCTGCCATGGTTCTCAAAGCAACAGTCTTCTGTTCGTGACCTTCCTCTAATCTTGCTTCCAACAAATGTATTATTTGCACTTCAACTACATGGGACATTTGAAAATGAAAATTAGATAGTGTTATGTTCCAACATGCTTTCTTAGTACACTAAGGATTAAATAAATGTTTCTCTGAGTGGCATCCAAGATTACCCTTGATAAGCCCCGTATCGATTTTCCCAGCCTCATCACCTGCCTCCTTCACTATTAATTCAGTATAGTATAAACTTTTTCCCCCAATAATTTTATGTTTAAAATTTGTATTTTATTTTTTAAAATTTTACTGAAATATAGTTGATTCACAATGTTGTGTTAGTTTCAAGTGTACAGCAAAGTGATTCATTTATACATATATGTTCATATATATGTATATATATACTGGTTTTACATGCTCTTCCATTATACATTATTACAAGATATTACGTATAGTTCCCTGTACTATACAGTAGGTCCCTGTTGGTTATCTTTTTATATATAGTAGTGTGTATATGTTAATCCTAAACTCCTAATTTATCCCTCCCCCACCTCTCCTTTGGTAACCATATGTTTTTTTTCTATGTCTGTGGGTCTGTTTCTGTTTTTTAAGTAAGTTCATTTGTATCATTTTTTAAAATTCCACATATATATAAGCAATATCATATGATATTTGTTTTCCTCTGTCTCATTTACTCCCCCAATAATTTTAATTGTTAAATCTTTCATATCTGAGCATTTTCATACATTTTCTGCCTTATTCAGAACTGTTTTCACATTCTACTACCCTTCACTTAACCTCCTCACTCTGGTAAATCCTATTTAAAACATACTATTGCAGGGAGGCCTTTCTTTAGAGAAAGCTAGAAAGAAACAGTTGAAAGACAAAGGATAGGAGAGAAGGAGCAACATCAGAGAAACAAGACAAAAGTTGCAGGAACAGAGAAAGAGACAGTCCAGGAGACACCAGTAGAAAGAAACAGAGGCAGAGATGGATAAAATGTAAAGAATCAAATGGAAAGGGAAGAAGTAGAAAGAGAATGTGGTATAAAAAAAGGAAACCACTAAGATCAGAAACTACCACTAAGATCAGGAACAAGACAAGGTTGCCCACTCTCACCACTATTATTCAACATAGTTTTGGAAGTTTCAGCCACAGTAATCAGAGAAGAAAAAGAGATAAAAGGAATCCAAACTGGAAAAGAAGAAGTAAAGCTGTCACTGTTTGCAGATGACATGATGCTATACATAGAGAATCCTAAAGATGCCACCAGAAAACTACTAGAGCTAATCAATGAATTTGGTAAAGTAGCAGGATACAAAACTGATGAACAGAAATCTCTGGCATTCCTATACACTAATGATGAAAAATCTGAAAGTGAAATCAAGAAAACACTCCCATTTACCATTGCAACAAAAAGAATAAAATATCTAGGAATAAACCTACCTAAGGAGACAAAAGACCTGTATGCAGAAAATTATAAGACACTGATGAAAGAAATTAAAGATGATACAAATAGATGGAGAGATATACCATGTTCTTGGATTGGAAGAATCAACATTGTGAAAATAACTCTATTACCGAAAGCAATCTACAGATTCAATGCAATCCCTATCAAACTACCACTGGCATTTTTCACAGAACTAGAACAGAAAATCTCACAATTTGTATGGAAACACAAAAGACCCCAAATAGCCAAAGCAATCAAGAGAAATAAAAACGGAGCTGGAGGAATCAGGCTCCCTGACTTCAGACTATCCTACAAAGCTACAGTAATCAAGACAGTATGGTACTGGCACAAAAACAGAAATATAGATCAATGGAACAGGATGGAAAGCCCAGAGATAAACCCACGCACATATGGTCACCTTATCTTTGATAAAGGAGGCAAGAATATACAGTGGAGAAAAGACAGCCTTTTCAATAAGTGGTGCTGGGAAAACTAGACAGCTACATGTAAAAGAATGAAATTAGAACACTCCCTAACACCATACACAAAAATAAACTCAAAATGGATTAAAGACCTAAATGTAAGGCCAGACACCATCAAACTCTTAGAGGAAAACATGGGCAGAACACTCTATGACATAAATCACAGCAATATCTTTTTTGACCCACCTCCTAGAGAAATGGAAATAAAAACAAAAATAAACAAATGGGACCTAATGAAACTTAAAAGCTTTTGCCCAGCAAAGGAAACCATAAACAAGATGAAAAGACAGCCCTCAGAATGGGAGAAAATATTTGCAAATGAAGCAACTGACAAAGGATTAATCTCCAAAACATACAAGCAACCCATGCAGCTCAATATTAAAAAAACAAACAACCCAATCCAAAAATGGGCAGAAGACCTAAATAGACATTTCTCCAAAGAAGATATACAGATTGCCAACAAACACATGAAAGGATGGTCAGCATCATTAATCATTAGAGAAATGCAACTCAAAAGGACAATGAGATATCATCTCACACTGGTCAGAATGGCCATCCTCAAAAAATCTACAAACAGGGCTTCCCTGGTGGCACGGTGGTTGAGAGTCTGCCAGCTGATGCAGGGCACACGGGTTCATGCCCCGGTCCGGGAAGATCCCACATGCCGTGGAGCATCTGGGCCCGTGAGCCATGGCCGCTGAACCTGCGCGTCTGGAGCCTGTGCTCTGCAACGGGAGAGGCCATAACAGTGAGAGGCCCGAGTACCGCTAAAAAAAAAAAAAAAAAATCTACAAACAATAAATGCTGGAGAGGTTGTGGAGAAAAGGGAACCCTCTTGCACTGTTGGTAGGAATGTAAATTGATACAGCCACTATGGAGAACAGTATGGAGGTTCCTTAAAAAACTAGCAATAGAACTACCATATGACCCAGCAATCCTACTACTGGGCATATACCCTGAGAAAACCATCATTCAAAAAGAGTCATGTACCAAAATGTTCATTGCAGCTCTATATACAATAGCCTCAACGTGTAAGCAACCTAAGTGTCCATCAACAGATGAATGGATAAAGAAGATGTGGCACATATATACAATGGAATATTAGCCATAAAAAGGAACGAAACTGAGTTATTTGTGGTGTGGTGGATGGACCTAGAGACTGTCATACAGAGTGAAATAAGTCAGAAAGAGAAAAACAAATACCGTATGCTAACACATATATGTGGAATCTAAAGAAAAAAAAAAAGAAAAAAAAATTGGTCAGAAGAACCTAGGGACAAGATGTGAATAAAGATGCAGACCTACTAGGGAATGGACTTGAGAATACGGGGGGGAGGAAGGGTAAGCTGGGACAAAGTGAGAGAGTGGCATGGATATATATACATTACCAAACGTAAAATAGAAAACTAGTGGGAAGCAGCCGTATAGCACAGGGAGATCAGCTCGGTGCTTTGTGACCACTTAGTGGGATAGGGAGGGTGGGAGGGAGGGAGATGCAAGAGGGAAGAGATATGGGGACATATGTATATGTAAAACTGATTCACTTTGTTATAAAGCAGAAACTAACACACGATTGTAAAGCAGTTATACTCCAATAAAGGTAAAAAAAAAAAAAAAAGGAAAGGGAGATTTTTCCACAATGGATGAATTCCTCAGCCCCTAGTGAAAGCTGCTGAAGCAAAGTTAACCTTCAGGTCAGGTTATTTTGGGGAGTGGGGCCTTTCAGTTTCTCAGGATTTCTTGATTTTCTAGTTATTTTCTTGCTGTGATTCCTCCTTGGTCATAAATTGAGGTGTCTGTGGGATTTCATTCTTAACTGCAGGGAACAACAATGCCTGTTGGGAGGCCTGTGATGGAGAAGAGCCCCAGGGAGCCTCGAACTTCCCACCAAGATGTGAGCTGGGTAAGGATGGGAAGGGATTGCCAGCCGAGGGTGTCAGGTGACTGAATTCAGAGCTGGTGTTTATTGATGCTTTTTACCCTGAGCACACTCCACAGTCAAAAGATCTAGTGTGTCTTGGAATCCCATGAGTCCATAATAACATAAGTAACATAACAAATAACATAAATATTCCTAAGTGCATTCTAGTAGCAACATGCTGGAGAAAAGTGATGTCTCTCATAGCTATTAATAGTAAAGACTTGAATTTATACCGACCTGCCCTTTATCTTCTGTAAAGAATAAAAACTAAGTATTATTCTCTTTGGCTATAATGCTATTATTTTGTGCCTAACTTTGGAAAACCCCCAAAAGGAACATGGTCCTTCAGATCAATTGCTCCCAAATCTAAAGTACAATTTTTGTCAACGATTATTTATTATGTGACTGATTTTTCAAAGAATTTTGGCAAACAAGATGTCATTCTTCTCTCCACAAAGTTATGGATGTAACAGACAAAATGTTACTTATTCCTGTTTTACAGGTAAAGAAATAGAAGCACTGAAGTGTGTAAGGGTCTTTTAGCAGTCAAAGCAGTTAAACAAGCGAGGGTACCAGCATCCTCGATGACTTACTATGGTGACTATCGTGTGGGGCTGCAGAGGGTCAGGGCAGCCAAGACTTAGGTACATATATATGATGGAATATTACTCAGCCATAAAAAGGAACGAAATTGGGTCATTTGTAGAGATGCGGATGGACCTAGAGTTTGTCATACAGAGTGAAGTAAGTCAGAAAGAGAAAAACAAATATCATATATTAACGCATATATGTGGAATCTAGAAAAATGATACAGGTGAACCTATTTGCAGGACAAGAATAGAGATGCAGACGTAGAGAATGGACATGTGGACACAGGGGAGAGGAGAGGTGGGATGAATTGGGAGATTAGGATTGACATATATACACTACCATGTGTAAAATAGATAGCTAGTATGAAGCTGCCGTATTGCACAGGGAGCTCAGCTTGGTGCTCTATTATGACCTACATGGGTGGGATGGGGTGGGAGGGAGGGAGGTCCAAGAGGGAGGGGATATATATCAGTATACATATACATGTATATCACTATACATATAGCTGATTCACTTTGCTGTACAGCAGAAACGAACACAACAGTGTAAAGTAACTATATCCCAATTAAAAAAAAAAGAAAAGAAAACTGACTCATGAGTAGGAAAACTGTCAAAGAACATTGAAGGGCAAAGAAGAAAAAGACGACTGGAAGGAAGCCCAGAGAGCAAAGGAGGTGTGTGATCCTTCATGGCACAAAAACAACCATGTGTGGGGACAGAAAAATGAGGAGAAAGGTGACTGAGGGATAAGGGGAAGGAAAAAAGGCAGAGCAAGGCTCTGGTGGGTCTAAAGTGAGGTGTGTGGAGCAACAGTATCTTTTTCCCAAGGAGAAGTTCACCCGGCCATTGAACACCAGAATTCAGCATGAACACCCTGAGGTCTGTACCTCATCACCACGTCTGGTTGGTCTTTTCTGTTTTTCTTTAGTTTCCTGTGAGCCCAAAGCTCTTCAAAAGACAAACGAAGGCAATTCTGAAGAGATTCCCAAACTGCAAGCAGGTAACGGGGGAGCTAATATTGATTTAAGTGACCAATTATCTCATTAATTTGTTTGCATGTCTGTATGCAAAGGACATTTCCCTTCATTCCCCCAAACACAAACACACACTTTTCCTTAGGCTCTGGTTGCTTTCTTCAGGTATATGGGAGGCAAGGGGGAAGGAGGGGCTAAGGGCCTTAACGGAGGGGCTTCTGGGTTGAGAATTTAAGGGCACAGAATAATAAAAATGTAGATTGGGGCCACCACATGCAGTTGCCTAAGTAGTTTCAATTTTATTTAAAAGTATATGGAATCTAAATACAACCAGATTGGGGTTTGGAGGAGAGAGATCATTTTAAACTTATGTCCCAGGGTTGCATAGGTTTAACGAAATACTATGTATAGGAGAGACAAACAGGAGGTGAGTTAAAAGAAAAAATAAGGATGGATTAAAGACCTAAATGTAAGGCCAGATACTATAAAACTCTTAGAGTAAAACTTAGGCAGAACACTCTTTGACATAAATCACAGCAAGAGCTTTTTTGATACACCTCCTAGAGTAATGAAAATAAAAACAAAAATAAACAAATGGGACCTAATTAAACTTAAAAGCTTTTGCACAGCAAAGGAAACCATAAAACAAAAAGTCAATCCTCAGAATGGGAGAAAATATGTGCAACCAAGTAACTGACAAGGGATTAATCTCCAAAATGTACAAACAGCTCATGCAGCTCAATATCAAAAAAACAAACAACCCAATCAAAAAATGGGCAGAAGATCTAAATAGACATTTCTCCAAGATCTAAAGAAGACATACAGATGACCAAAAAGCACATGAAGAGATGTTCAACATCACTAATTATTAGAGAAATGCAAATCAAAACTACAATTAGGTATCACCCCACACTGGTTAGAATGGCCATCATCAAAAAACCTACAAACAATAAATACTGGAGAGGGTGTGGAGAAAAGGGAACCCTCCTACACTGTTGGTGGGAATGTAAATTGGTACAGCCACTTTGGAGAACAGTATGGAGTTTCCTTAAAAGAACTAAAAATAGAGCTACCATATGATCCAGCAATCCCACTCCTGGGCATATATCTAGAGAAAACCATAATTCAAAGAGATACATGAACTACAGTGTTCATTGCAGCACTGTTTACAATAGCCAGGACATGGAAGCAACCTAAATATCCATTGATAGATGAATGGATATAGAAGGTGGTACATATATACAATGGAATATTACTCAACCATAAAAAAGAACGAAATAATGCCATTTGCAGCAACATAGATGGACCTAGAGATTGTCATACTGAGTGAATGAAGTAAGTCAGACAGTGAAAGACAAATATCATATGATATCATTTATATGTGGAATCCAAAAAAATGATACAAATGAACTTATTTATAAAACACAGTCACAGATGTAGAAAACAAGCTGATGGTTACCAAGGGGGAAAGTGGGGGTAAGGATAATTTGGGACAGGAGTCCCCAACCCCTGGGATGCAGACCAGTACCGGTCCATGGCCTGTTAGGAACTGGGTCGCACAGCAGGAGGTGAGCAGTGGGCGAGCCAGTGAAGCTTCATCTGCCGCTCCCCGTCGCTTGCGTCACCGCCTAAATCATCCCCCACCCCCCACCCCCAATCCGTGGAAAAATTGTCTTCCATGAAACTGGTCCCTGGTGCCAAAAAGGTTGGGAACTGCTGATTTAGGAGATTGGGATTGACATATACTCACTACTATACATTAAATAAATAACTAATAAGAACCTACTGTGTAGCACAGGGAACCCTACTCAGCACTCTGTAATGACCTATATGGGAAAAGAGTCTAAAAAAGAGTGGATATATGTATATGTATAACTGATTCACTTTGCTGTACAGCAGAAACAAACACAACATTATACCTCAACTATACTCCAATAAAAATTAATTGAAAGGGGTGAGATAGGGAGGGTGGGTGGAAGACAGAAGAGGGAGGAGATATGGGGATATATGTATATGTACAGCTGATTCACTTTGTTATACAGCAGAAACTAACACACCATTGTCAAGTAATTATACTCCAATAAATATATTAAAAAAATAATTTAAAAATTTAAAAATATAATGAAAGAGAGAACTAACAGTGACCTACTGTGTAGCACAGGGAACTCTACTTAATACTCTGTAATGACCTATATGGGAAAAGAATCTAAAAAAGAGGGGATATATGTATATGTATATGTATAACGGATTCACTGTGCTGTACAGCAGAAACTAATACAACATTGTAAATCAACTATACTCTAATAAAAATTTAAAAAAATAAATAGACGTGGAATCGAAATAGAACCAGGTTAGAATGTGGTATCAGGGAGGGGAGATAATTTTCACCCTGCTTTCCTCGAGGTTGTGCCAGGAACATGGGCATAGTGGGTATAATCGCAAAATAGAAAACTCATGTCAAAGACATTTGAAACGAGCCTGCCAAGGGGAAGGAAGGATCCCTACTCGTCTGTCAGTGGCAAAAGATGAGAACTTTGATGATTTGGAGAAGGAATATGTGAGATGGAAAAAATATACAGAAAGGCTGAGATTTTAATTTTTAGATTTAAATTTTAAGTTGAAACATTACAAACAGGAAGGACTAAAGAGAACAGATAGAAGCAGGGAAATGAGCACCACAGAAGAAAGGAGCTCAACTCAGTAATCAAACAAGGTACAGAGTTTAAAAGGTAGAGAATGTGACATTAGAGAAAGACCCAGAGAGGGAAAGTGCTAAGAAATAGAAAGACTGGAGGAAAGTATAGCAGTTATACGTAGAGAGAAAGATAAAGGAGAAGAATAAAACATCTGTAGAGAGGGGACACCATGGACAGGATGGAGAAGGTGGTTTGGGACATTGTAGGGACTGAAAGAAGAGTTGCTGCATGGAAGCAGCTTCTAACACTAGGAGTTGAACGTGTTAGCCATGAGTTTTCAGATTATGGTTCCTCCAGTTATCAAAGTGGCACCTGTAATACACTCAGAGGCAATGGGCCTCCCCTCAGCCATTCTTGTATACTCCATCTACAACTTAATGATCCCCAGATTCCTAACTCTGGCCCCAACTTGCCTTGTAAGCTCATTCATCTAAGTGCCTGACTATATTTGTACAGGGATCTGAGAGACATCTGCATTTGGATGGTTTTCAGGAACTTCAATACAAGTCACTTCCATAGTTGCATGTACCATCTTTTTTTTTTTTTTTTTTTTTTTTTTTTTTTTTTTGGGGGGGCGGCGGCGCTGCACGGGGGTGAGACTGCGATTTGCCCCAAGCGGGCATTGTCAGGCAAGGATAAAACCTGTGAAAAGTTGCCTGATGGGGTTCAAAAGGCACCATCTCTAGTGAGGCTGAGGGACCTGAAGTACAAATAGGCAGAGCAGGTTTCTGTCCAGGGTCCCCTCCCCCAACACATACACTTAGAGGAAGAACACCGGCAGGAGAGGAGAAAGAGAGTTCTGGAAGTTCTAGCAACAGCGCAGGAGCAGTAAGGTCTGCCCCTGTCTTTATCCCTATTCAGAAGGAGTTGGAGGAACAGCATCTAAAATAGAATTGCCTTAGAGCCTGGGGAGCTTCCTGTCTGGAGGGCATGAGGAGGGGGGAGGGGGCCCTCAACTCACACACCCCATCAATCATCCAGTTTAGTTAACTATACCTTTAACTTGTCTCTTACTCGTCCATTTGTTGCCACAACTGACACAGAAGCCCTAGTCAGATGTCTCTTATCTCTGGAACTAGAGCCAGGGCAACAGACTCTATCTGGTCTCATACCTTCTCCCAGTCATCCTCCCACCATATCCATTCTCTCCAACTCAACTAGATGACCCTTTGAAAATGCAGGTTGGCTTATCTCACTTTCCTACCTTAAATCAATAACTTTTTGTCAAAAGGATTAAATTCTTCCCTATTTTCCTTCCCATGGCTCCAGCCTCACGTCTGCCTCTCCTGCAATGACTTCTAAAGTTTGTGTAAAACTTCGCAGTAATTTTAATTTTGATTACTTTTTCTCATCTGAGCCTTTGCACACACTTAGCCCTGTGCTTGGAACAATTTTCTTGGTCCACTCCACTCTCCATTCTGCTCACTAATCTGGTGAAATCACATGGAAGTTATAGACCACCTCAGAGATACATTTTCTAATTCCTAGTTCTAGAAAAAAACAGCATGAGAGACGGGGAGAAGACGTAAAGCTCAGCATCAGGAAAGGAAGAGGGAGAAAAGGCAGGTGGGAACAGACATGGGAAAAGAAACAAATCAGGACAAAGAGAAGTACCAAGAGATTCCAATAGCAAGTTACCGAGATAGAAATAGAAGAAGCAGAGATGTGTGGAAAGGGTGAGAATGAGAAAGAGAACAGGGTTGGGAGACAATGTGTACAGTCTCCATCAGATTATTGGATTGTGCAAGCCCCCTCTCACCTTCACGAAACCCTAAGACACAGGTATGCAAACTGTTGTAACTTCTATTTTGTGGTTGGGGAAATGAAACAGAAGGGCATGGAGGTTATTTTTGCAAGGGCAAGGTAGAAAAGGAAGAGTGGGCACCAGCATCCTGGGTGTGTCACTGAGGGTGACAGTTGTGTGAAGCCAGCTGACAGTCAGCGTGGGGTCATGTGGTCAGAAAAGGAAGAGGAAACTCAAGGAGTTCTGCAGGTTCCCAGGGGAGAGAACCAGGGTCCAAGAGAAGATTTAGTTAAGGAAAACTTAATCTTGGTGGGGAGGGAAAGGAAACCACTGAGAGACAGGAAGTATAGAAATGGACCCAACCACTTAGGCTTGAAGAGATCTAGAATAAGAAAGCTAGAAAGGATAACAGGAGAAAAGAGATACACTATCCCTGAAAAACAAACAAACAAACAAAAAAACCCCAAGACCTGAAGACAAGAGATGAGGAGAGAAACACAGACAATCAAAGAGATGCACAGCTAGGAAACAGAGCTGTGTGGAGGTGGAACTGTGGGTAGGATGCTGAGAAGGAAAGAGAAGAGGTGCAGATGGCAAAGAAGCAGGAGATGACGTGGCTCTCAGAAGCAGTGCTTGGAGCAGACATACGGCTTTTCCATCATGTTTGGCATGAGCCAATCGAGGTCTGTTTCTGATCGCCCTCCATGGACCATCATGTCCTTGTTTCTTTGCAGTGACCTGTTATCCCAAAGCTCCCCAAATGACTCACAAAGGAGAACCCAAGGAGGTGCTCAGCCAACCAGTAGAGGGAGAAGGTAATTATGATTTAAACTCCTCAATAAATAGGAAAAAAAATTCCCCCTTCTCTCATCTTGCCATTCTCTTCTTCATATTCACATACATACACATGGAATTGTGTCGATTTTCTGTTTTGTTTTTTCCAAAACTGTGAGAGAGACTAAGGAGAAAGGTGAGCTGAGCTGAGTGGGGAGAGCACCCCTGCATGGAGAACACGGGGAAACAGGATGTGCCAAAGGTAGGCTGGGGTCCCAAAGCAGAAGTATCTGGGTGACTTTATTAAATGCATATAAACTCCAAATGTCAGCAGGTTATGGCAGTTGAGGCAAGGAGATCATTTTCAGCTTACTTTGGAAGTACAAGGAACATGGAAGTAAGTTTTGTGAATGACTGATAAGCTTGCAGTTTAGAAAGGTCATGTGGGAGACTTAGAATAGAGCTAATAAGGGAAGGCTCTCCAGCACTGTGGTCCATGTGAAAATGGAAGGACTTCTGTCAGTTGGGGAGAAGGGATCTGTGAGCATGAGGAAAATATATAAAATAAGGAAATTTTACAGGCATCTAGAAAGAGAACACCCAGAGAAAAAGAGAAAAGGAGAAAATGGAAGACAAGGTAGAAAGGGAATTACCTCAATAAGAAATGAGATACAAAGATAAAAATTAGAGAAACTATATAGAGAGGCAAATAAATACCAAAAAAAAAAAAAATGTGCAAGGAAGTGCAGAGAAACTATGTCGAGAAAGAGTTTTATCAGATCGATAAAGAGTGAAAACAGCTGTACAGGGAAGAGAGGAGAGAAGTTGGGATCCTGGAACGCTGAAGTATGCATATCAGACAGGAGCATCTTCCATCCCAGTAGTGAGTTTCCAAGTTAGGTTTGCCCCATTGAGAGAGTGGTGTCCATAACATAGAGTAATAATTCTCTCCCTGGCAGCCTCAGCTACTCTCAGGTAACAGAATGTGTCTCAAGCACATGCCTGCTAGGCAGACCCATCTTCCAAGGTCATCCATCTATGTATGTACCTGAAGACATTTATCCCAGGGCCCTCTCCATTTGGATGTCTTTCAGGAACTGACACTTCCAAAATTGAAACCAACATCTTCCATGAAACTGGAATGTCCTTTTCTTACAGGGTTTTCTCTCTCAGTAAATGGAACTTGAATGTCCCATTTTCTCTTGCTCCCATCTTGCCCATTTTCTCCACGTTAGCACAATTTTTATTTGCAAGATGGAAATCAGATCATATTACTTTTCCACTTAAACTTGGTGACCTTTGTTGTCCAAAGATTAGATCAGTTAACTTTCCTGTCTTTCTGTGTCTTCCATTCATCATGCGACCCTTGCCAATTTCTTCTTCCTCATCTCACTTGTGGTCTGAGCATCCTGGCTCAGCTCATTTTCTTGTTTCTCTTTAGTGTCCTGTGATCCTGAAGCTTCCCAAATGACCAACAAAGAAGAACCAGAGGAGCTGCCTAGTCAACCACTATGTGGTGGAGAAGGTAATTGTGAAGGTAATCCTCATCTCTAATGATAGTATAAATATTTTCAGTGATTGCAATGTTCTGATCTTTCTTTTATATGAGGGATTTGGAAAAATTTTCCCCTGTGGTTGGTGGTGTTGCCTTGGTCCACTCTATTTCTTATCCCATTCCCTGATCAGGTTATATTATACTATTTTAGGGATGCCTCTCCTAACACACACCATGAGAAAGGGAGCCAGAGGGAAAAATGGGATGGGGCAAGGTGATAAAGAGCAGTGTCAAGGCTGCAAGAGAAAAAGAGACAGGAGCAGAGGAGAAAGAAACACACCAAAACAAAGAGAAACATCTAGAGATGCTGGCAGAAGGAAACAAGGGCAGAGACAGAAAAATATGCACAGGCAATGGGAAAGAGGAAGAAGTAGAAAGAGAATTAGGTGTACGGGGAGTGTGGGAGATGGTGGATGGTTCTCAGCCTCCGGTGGTAGGGATGGGAGGGAGTTAGCAGGCCAGGGGAACCCCAAGGGCAGACCAAGACGGTCTGGGATAGAGACAGTCCCACCCGTGAGATAATTGAGCTTCCCATGTCTTCAGTATGAGTTTTCTTGCCACGATTTCCCCCTGCTTGTGTACTGAGACCTCTGAGGGATTTCATTCCTTTCTGCAGAGGACAACAGTGCCTGTTGGGAGGTCTGTGACGAAGAAGAGCCCCAGGGAGCCTCGAGCTCCCCACCAAGATGTGGGCCAGGTAAGGAAGGGGGGCTTGCCAGCCCTGAGCTGCAGGGTTTCAGGTGTCTGAATTCAGAGCTGAACAGCATGACCCTTGTTAGAATAAACGTGTTCCCTCTTCATGTCGTAGCAGATCAAGCCTAAAGAAAGATAGAGTGTTTTTTTCCTCCACAGTCTTTATGCTTATTCACGCTAAGGACTCAGTATTGTGATTTTAACCCCTGACCACCTTTTATTTTCTATAAGGAGTAAAAGATAAGTATTTTTCCAGTGTTTAATAATAGTAATATTATATTGTCACTAACCTTGGATAGGCTTCCAGAGAAACATGGTCCTTGAGATCTACTTGTCAGAAATTAAGATCACTGACTCTAAGGCCCAAATGACATTTTTTGCCACGTATTCTTCATCAGGTTATTGGAGTATATAGTGCTTTATTCTTTTCAAAGTACTTTGGCAAGTAAGATTTCCTCACAAAACCTTAGGACTTAGCCAGGGAAACAGTTATTATCCTTCCTTAGAGATAAGAATATGGAAGCACAGAAAAAGGATACTTGTTTTTCCCTGAGATCAAAGTAGGAGGAAGGGCAGAGATACCTGTGTCCCAAGTCTCTCATTGCAGGTGGTGGTTGTGTGAGGCTTGTAGCAAGTCAATGTCCAAAGGGAGACCTGCAGGATCCCAAGGGCAATAGAACAGAGCCTGAACCAGAGAGCCTTCCACTTCTCAAATAAAGAATGTCAGTACGGAGAGGAAGAGATCAAGATCATCACTGAGGAAATAAAGTAAAGATAGAAGACGTCAGGGGGATCAGAGCCCACAAAATCAAAGGTGCACAATTATTCTCCTAGTGCAGAAGCAGAAATGTTTAGAGGCACGTCTATAGATAGGAAACTGAGAAGCAGAGGGTAGGGGAATGAGGTTAATGAGGTGGAAACAGAGGCAGAACAGGGCTTAGTTGGATCTCAAGTGTGGTCCTTGGAGCAGATGTCCCTTTTCCCAAAGGGCAGCTCACTTGTGGTCTTAGCATCCTGGCTCAGCTCATTTTCTTGTTTCTCTTTAGTGTCCTGTGATCCTGAAGCTTCCCAAATGACGAACAAAGAAGAACCAGAGGAGCTGCCTAGTCAACCACTATGTGATGGAGAAGGTAATTGTGATTTCAACTCCCAAATTGAATCTTTGTTTTTCTGTCTGCAGAGAGGAAAATCTCCATCTTTCTTCTCCCTTCCTACCCTGCTCCCCTTCACATACCCATACAGAAGAAATATGTAGAGCCAACTGGAAAGGATGAAAAAGACAGAGAAAATTAGTGTATAAGAAGGGAGTGAGATGGGTAGACTGTTTTCAGCCTCTGATGATAGTGACGGGAGCCATGTTAACCTCTAGGTCAGGTGAGCTCAAAGTCAGGAGGGTCTAAGGGCAAGGACATTCCCATCCTGGAGATACTTGAGCCGCTCTGGTCTTCCTGGTTGTCTCTGGGAGGGTTTTCCTACTATGGTTTCCATTGGTCATACACTGGGATTCCAAGAGATTTCATTCTATTTATCAGAAGGAAGCAGTACCTGTTCAGAAATGTGTGATGAAGAACCACCCCAGGAATCCTTGAGCTCACTACCAAAAAGTGGAGCAGGTGAGAGAGATAAGGACTGTCTGGGCTGCAGGGTGTCAGGAGGATGGTGTTTCCTGATGGATTTTACTCTGGGAACACTCCACAATGAAAGCTCCAGTTAATTCTCAAATATCATTCTTCACCTTTACCTTGGCTCTTTGGCTCTTGTACCTTGCAAGGGACAAGAAACCTTGAGCAACTCCATAATTAGGAGATCATGTTGTTTGATTGTAGGTATCCATATATTCAGTTGTAGTAGGTAGAATTCCACATAGGAGAAAGAACACAGAAGTTGCACAAAAATTTGATTAACTTTAGTGGAACTGTTAGTACATTATCTCTAGCTATTTATTATCTCCCAAGAATATTTATATTCACCTCTTCCAGCACAGAAACATAATCTTTCATTTGTGTATTATCTACAGAGAGTTGATTTATTGGTTAAGTTGGTGTAATGTACTGTAAATCATCATAAACTCTTTCTTTGCCCAAATGTTTGAACTTTTGATCTTATTATAGGAGTAACTCATGACTTCAAATGTTTGAGGTTCTTTGGGGGTTTTAGTTGTTTCCTATTCCATGGACAACGCTCAAAGATGAAGCACAGTTGGGTTTAAGCTGATTTTGATGATTAGGTGGAGTCACGGTCTTTATATAAATAGTTTGTAGCATCCTTGCCCTGAATGCCCATCAATAGCTGTCAGCCTGATATTTCTTAATGCAATTTATCCTCAATTAAAATTTATTTTAGAAGCATAATTACAAGTAAAGCCATTATTTTTTTCCAGGAGTTGGCTTGGGACGATGACATATTCAAAAATTCTTCACATTGGCTCTACTAGAAATATTTTAGAAGAACTGAATTATAAAGTTAGGGTGGTGATCGTCCTAAGTGAAGTCAGTCTTGGAATGTTAGTAGTAGTAGTAACATTATGGGCAAGTCAGAGGCTTCAAACATTAAACCAGTAAATAGAAAAACTAAAGTTGTAAGGATAAAGGATAAAAATATGAAGGAGAATGTGACAATCAGTGTGGCAGTCTAGGCATCCAGGAAAACCTTATTCTGATTGATCTTGAGTGGTAGCAGTTCTACTTCATGGAACTATCTGCACGTTCTGGGGATCTTTGGGTAGTAAAAGGACATTAAATAATCCACCTGATATTTGTTTTTATATGGGCACCTGAAGAGATTGAAAATCTGTTTGTTTCCACAGCATTCAGAAGTTATGATCTACTCCAAATGCATAATGGCTTTCAGTTTAACAATTTGACATGTCCTAGAGAAGGCTCTATATTCAGTTACTTGAGACAGTTTTGCTTTCTGTAAGGGAATGAACTCTACAAGGGAGTCTGGAACAGTCATTGTGTAACCAGCCTGGTATTTCATTTTACTTTATTTTCTTTTGTCTCATTTAATTTTATTTTTATTTTAGAGATAAACTTATCACCAAACAATATTAAGTCAGGATTTAGTAAGGGAGCATCTAAACTATCTCTTCTGGAAGTGGACGTTAGAAACTAAATCCTAGGATTCTCCTTCCTTGAGTAAGAATATTACTCTATAACACACACACACACACACACACACACACACACATGACGTTTTCTTTATGTACTTATCTATTGATGAACACTTAGGTTGTTCCCATGTCTTTGGCTATTGTTTAAATAATGCTGCAATGAACATTAGGGTGCAGATTTTGTTTCCTTTGGATTATGTATCCAGGAGTGGAATTGCTGGAACATAAGGTAGTTCTATTTTTAGTTTTTTGAGGAAACTCCATGCTGTTTTCCACAGTGGCTGCACCAATTTACATCCCACCAACAGTGCTCAAGGGTTCCCTTTGCTCCACATTCTCACCAACATTTGTTATTGCTTGTGTTGACAACCTCCTTTTCTTAAACATCAACTCTGCCATACAGCGTAACCTAAAAATGGGGGTAATGTCTTATGAAATCCACGGTCCCTGGGGTTTAGGAACAAATCTTGGGAGGTCATTTTAGAATTCTGCCTATGACAAGGAAGCTTGAGTAAATCTCCAGAAAATAACTATCCAGATGAGACATTGATTTTCCCAAGCAAATAATATAGGCTACCAAACAAATTAAAACACCAAAGAAAGCTGAGCATAAGTGTGTTAAAGAAAAGAATTTGACTTTAGAAAATACTATAGTAATTGGCTCAGGCACTACAGGGGAGTGAGGTATACCTATTTTGTTTATTTCCTGCATATCTTGAATATGCATAGTATAGGCATACTGATGTTCAGATTAACTATAGTGATCATGTGTAGGAGAATTTTCCAGGAATTCTAAGGTTAGCCCTTCTTAGTACACTTAATATGTAGTTTCATTTGCAGAATAGAGCCTTACCTATTAAATTTTTAGGAGTTTCTTGGAGAAAAGAAAGGACAGTTTGTTACATAATGGTCTGAATATAGCAGTTATTGGTTGGCACATGGAACTACTCTTGGTCATTTTTTTCAGTCCTTTTAGAGAAATATTATCAAATGAGTCATTTACTTTTGACATGCCAAAAGTTCCCCACTGAAATCTAAAGACATCTTTTGTGAAAATTTACCATTTATTAAGTGCAAGTTAGAATCACACTGAGAGTACAGAGAAGTGAAAGTTCTGCCAGTGGGAGATTGTGACTTTGGCAAAGACAAGCCCATGACATAGAGTCATAAGTATGAATGGTGTCCTGAAAATGGAGTATTGTGCTCATCAATCAAGCAGAAACTAAAAAGAAGACATATGATCAATTATATGATAACAGTTATGTACTAAACAAAAGGATTTTCTTTCAAAAATTAATATGATGTCAAGTATCCTCATGAAAGTTTTGGTGAGGGACCCAAGACAAAATGTGACAAACTATATTTGCACAAATTCTCTACTTTCTAATGGACCCCCATCCGTTAATTAGTCTTTGGGGCTAGCTTGGATTGGGGATTTATCAAGTCTATGCCTCTATCTATCTGCTTTGGATCAGTATCTTCTAATAATGAAGAAGCACAGGAAAATCAGGAACAGACAAACACACGAGACAAGACTTTTAAAAAAATAGGCAAAAGAAAAGAGAATAAATGAAGTAGTGGAAGAAAAAGCACATTAATAGAACATTTGCTAAATGCTGTCCCGCCAAACCAAAATGTCTACTTACTTTGTATGTAACTGCATACACATCTTTATATAATAAAATAAATCCAGAAATAAAACTTCAGTGAAACAAGTCAGAGCTTACGTGGTTCTTGCAATGGATTCACTTGGCAGTGGATCAGGAAGACAATCTGAGTTGTGCACAAGAAGCTGGGGTTTTGGACCAACACTGTTGGTCCAAGGGTCCCACAAGACACCCCTAAGCAAGAGTCCTCAAGATGATCTTGGTGGGAACACCATTTGTGAAGGAAGAGTGGCCACCATGCAATATTGGAAGCTAAAGCTGGATTTATTGCTTGCTAAGCAAGACACATGGTGGGAGGAAGCACTGTACACAGTTTTTTTTAATACAGGAAACTGCTGATTTTACTTATTTTTTAATTAATTTTTATTGGAGTATAGTTGACTTACAATGTTGTGTTTTTATTTACACTTTTGGGAAGCATGTAGTTCAGGGACTGCAGACTTTCAGAAACAGGAGTGTTTATAAATTGGTTAGCATTCAGCCATACACATAGGCTTTCTGAAGTGTATCTGTTGCTGACTGGCTGATTTTCATAAGTGTAAGGCTGCAACTGATTAGCTGACTTTAGATGTGGTTAGTGATGCAAGCAGTCATTGGCCAATTGGGATGAATTTAAAACTGGTTCTGACAATTACTTTTTGCAACTTTCAAAGGACAGTCAGTTTTTCCTAGAAGGATAAGATCTTTTTATTTTATTCTTAGGGATAAAAGTAGAAAAATAAAAGTAGAGAAAGCAGAATGAGGTTCAAAAGATGGGAAAAACATGGCTCTGTTGGATCTCAGTTGTGATTATTGGAGCAGATATTCTTTTTCCAAGAAAGCAGTTCATTGTTTTTTTTCTTTTGGGTTTTTCTTTTTTTTTTTTTTTACCTCTTTATTGGAGTATAATTGCTTTACAATGTTGTGTTAGTTTCTGCTGTACAACAAAGTGAATCAGCTCTATGTACACATATATCCCCATATACCATCCCTCTTGCGTCTCTCTCTCTCACCCTCCCTATGCCACCCCTCTAGGTGGTCACAAAGCACCGAGCTGATCTCCCTATGCTATGTGGCTGCTTCCCACTACCTATCTATTTTACATTTGGTAGTGTATATATGTCAATGAAACTCTATCACTTTGTCCCATATTACCTGTCCCCCTCCCTGTGTCCTCAGTCCATTCTCTGTGTCTGCATTTTTATTGCTGTCCTGCCACTAGGTTCATCAGAACCATATTTTTCTTTTTAGATTCCATATATATGTGTTAGCATATGGTATTTGTTTTTCTCTTTCTGACTTACTTCACTCTGTATGACAGACTCTAGGTCCATCCACCTCACTACAAATAACTCAATTTTGTTTCTTTTTATAGCTAATATTCCACTGTATATATGTGCCACAACTTCTTTATCCATTCATCTGTCGATGGACACTTACATTGCTTCCATGTCCTGGCTATTGTAAATAGTGCTGCAATGAACATTGTGGTACATGTCTCTTTTTGAATTATGGTTTTCTCAGGGTACATGCCCAGTAGTGGGATTGCTGGGTCGTATGGTAGTTCTATTTTTAGTTTTTATAGGAACCTCCATAGTGGCTGTATCAATTTACATTCCCACCAACAGTGCAAGAGGGTTCCCTTTTCTCCACACTCTCTCCAGAGTTTATTGTTTGTAGATTTTTTTATTATGGCCATTCTCACCAGTGTGAGGTGATACCTCATTGTGGTTTTGATTTGCATTTCTCTAATGATTAGTGATGTTGAGCATCCTTTCATGTGTTTGTTGACAATCCGTATATCTTCTTTGGAGAAATGTCTATTTAGTTCTGCCCATTTTTGGATTGGGTTGTTTGTTTTTTTAATACTGAGATGCATGAACTTCTTGTGTACTTTGGAGATAAATCCTTTGTCATTTGCTTCGTTTGCAAATATTTTCTCCTATTCCGAGGGCTGTCTTTCTTCTTATTTATGGTTTCCTTAGGTCCCATGTATTTATTTTTGTCTTTATTTCCAATTCTCTAGGAGGTGGGTCAAAAAGGATCACCCTGTGATTTATGTCAAAGAGTGTTCTTCCTATGTTTTCCTCTAAGAGTTTTATAGCATCTGACCTTACATTTAGGTCTTTAATCCATTTTGAGTTTATTTTTGTGTATGGTATTAGGAAGTGTTCTAATTTCATTCTTTTACATGTAGCTGTCCAGTTTTCCCAGTACCACTTATTGAAGAGGCTGTCTTCTCTCCATTGTGTATTCTTGCCTCCTTTATCAAAAATAAGGTGACCATATGTGCATGGGTTTATCTCTGGGCTTTCTATCCTGTTCCATTGATCTGGATTTCTGTTTTTGTGCCAGTACCATACTGTCTTGATTATTGTGGCTTTGTAGCATAGTCTGAAGTCAGGGAGCCTGATTCCTCCAGCTCCGTTTTTATTTCTCAAGGTTGCTTTGCCTATTCGAGGTCTTTTGTGTTTCCATACAAATTGTGAAATTTTTTGTTCTAGTTCTGTGAAAAACGCCAGTGGTAGTTTGATAGGGATTGCATTGAATCTGTAGATTGCTTTGGGTTTACTGTCATTTTCACAATATTGATTCTTCCAATCCAAGAACGTGGTATACCCCTCCATCTGTTTGTATCATCTTTAATTTCTTTCATCAGTGTCTTATAGTTTTCTGCATACAGGTCTTTCATCTCCTTAGGTAGTTTTATTCCTACATATTTTCTTCTTTTTGTTGCAATGGTAAATGGGAGTGTTTCCTTAATTTCTTTTTCAGGTTTTTTATCATTAGCGTATAGGAATGCAAGAGATTTCTGTGCATTAAATTTGTATCCTGCTACTTTACCAAATTCATTGATTAGCTCTAGTAGTTTTCTGGTAGCATCTTTAGGATTCTCTATGTATAGTATCATGTCATCTGCAAACAGTGAGAGTTTTACGTCTTCTTTTCTTATTTGGATTCCTTTTATTTCTTTTTCTTCTCTGATTACTGTGGCTAAAACTTCCCAAACTATGTTGAATAGTAGTGGTGATAGTGGTCACCCTTGTCTTGTTCCTGATCTTAGAGGAGATGGTTTCAGTTTTTCACCATTGAGAACAATGTTGGCTGTGGGTTTGTCATATATGGCCTTTATTATGTTGAGGTAAGTTCCCTCTATGCCTACTTTCTGGACGGTTTTTTATCATGAATGGGTGTTGAATTTTTTCAAAAGCTTTTTCTGCATCTATTGAGATTATCATGTGGTTTTTATCCTTCAGTTTGTTAATATGGTGTATCACATTGATTGATTTGCATATACTGAAGAATCCTTGCATTCCTGGGATAAACCCCACTTGATCATGATGTATGATCCTTTTAATGTGCTGCTGGATTCTGTTTGCTAGCATTTTGTTGAGGATTTTTGCATCTATGTTCATCAGTAATATTGGCCTCTAGTTTTCTATCCTTGTGACATCTTTGTCTGGTTTTGGTATCAGGGTGGTGGTTGCCTTGTACAGTGAGTTTGGGAGTGTTCCTCCCTCTGCTATATTTTGGGAGAGTTTGAGAAGGATATTTGTTAGCTCTTCTCTGAATGTTTGATAGAACTCGCCTGTGAAGCCACCTGGTCCTGGGCCTTTGTTTGTTGGAAGATTTTTAATCGCAATTTCAATTTCAGTACTTGTGATTCGTCTGTTCATATTTTCTATTTCTTCCTGGTTCAGTCTCAGAATGTTGTGCTTTTCTAAAAATTTGTCCATTTCTTCCAGGTTGTCCATTTTATTGGCATAGAGTTGCCTGTAGTAATCCCTCACGACCCTTTGTGTTTCTGCAGTGTCAGTTGTTCCTTCTCCTTTTTCATTTCTGATTCTATTGATGTGAGTCTTCTCCCTTTTTTTCTTGATGAGTCTGGCTAATGGTTTATCAATTGTGTTTATCTTCTCAAAGAACCAGCTTTTAGTTTTATTGATCTTTGCTATTGTTTCCTTCATTTCTTTTTCATTTATTTCTGATCTGATCTTTATGATTTCTTTCCTTCTGCTAACTTTGGGGGTTTTTTTTTGTTCTTCTTTCTCTAATTGCTTTAGGTGTATGGTTAGGTTGTTTATTTGAGATTTTCCTTATTTCTTGGGGTAGGATAGTACTGCTATAAACTTCCCTCTTAGAACTGCTTTTGCTGCATCCCATAGGTTTTGGGTCATCGTGTTTTCATTGTCATTTGTTTCTAGGTATTTTTTGATTTCCTCTTTGATTTCTTCAGTGATCTCTTGGTTATTTAGCAGCATATTGTTTGGCCTCCATGTGTTTGGTTTTTTTTACAGTTTCTTTCCTGTAATTGATATCTACTCTCATAGTGCTGTGGTCATAAAAGATACTTGATATGATTTCAATTTTCTAAAATTTACCAAGGCTTGACTTGTGCCCCAGGGTATGATCTATCCTGGAGAATGTCCCACGAGCACTTGAGAAGAAAGTGTATTCTGTTGTTTTTGGATGAAATTTCCTATAAATATCAATTAAGTCCATCTTGTTTAATGTGTCATGTAAAGCTTGTGTTTCCTTATTTATTTTCACTTTGGATGATCTGTCCATTGGTGAAAGTGGGCTGTTAAAGCCCCCTGCTATTATTGTGTTACTGTTGATTTCCCCTTTTATGGCTGTTAGCATTTGCCTTATGTATTGCTGTGCTCCTATGTTGGGTGTGTAAATATTTACAATTCTTATATCTTCTTCTTGGATTGATCCCTTGATCATTTTATAGTGTCCTTCTTTGTCTCTTGTCATAGTCTTTATCTTAAAGTCTATTTTGTCTGATATGAGAATTGCTACTCCAGCTTTCTTTTGATTTCCATTTGCATGGAATATCTTTTTCCATCCCCTCACTTTCAGTCTGTATGTGTCCCTAGGTCTGAAGTGGGTCTCTTGTAGCCAGCATATATATGGGTCTTGTTTTTGTATCCATTCAGCCAGTCTGTGTCTTTTGGTGGGAGCATTAATCCATTTACATTTAAGGTAATTATCGATATGTATGTTCCTATTACCATTTTCTTAATTGTTTTGGGTTTGTTTTTGTAGGTCTTTTCCTTCTCTTGTGTTTCCTACCTAGAGAAGTTCCTTTAGCATTTGTTGTAAAGCTGGTTTGGTGGTGCTGAATTCTCTTAGCTTTTGCTTGTCTGTAAAGGTTTTAATTTCTCCATTGAATCTGAATGAGACCCTTGCTGAATAGAGTAATCTTGGTTGTAGGTTTTTCCCTTTCATCACTTTAAATATATCCTGCCACTCCCTTCTGGCTTGCAGAGTTTCTGCTTAAAGATCAGCTGTCCACCTTATGGGGATTCCCTTGTATGTTATTTGTTGTTTTTCCCTTTCTGCTTTTAATATTTTTTCTTTGTATTTAACTTTTGATTGTTTGATTAATATGTGTCCTGGCATGTTTCTCCTTGGATTTATGCTGTATGAGACTCTCTGTGCTTCCTGGACTTGATTGACTCTTTCCTTTCCCATGTTAGGGAAGTTTTCAACTATAATCTCTTCAAATATTTTCTCAGTCCCTTTCTTTTTCTCTTCTTCTTCTGAGACCCCTATAATTCGAATGTTGGCATGTTTAACGTTGTCCCAGAGGTCTCTGAGACTGTCCTCAGTTCTTTTCATTCTTTTTTCTTTATTCCGCTCTGTGGTAGTTATTTCCACTATTTTATCTTCCAGGTCACTTTTCCGTTCTTCTGCCTCAGTTATTCTATTGATTGCTTCTAGAGAATTTTAAATTTCATTTATTTTGTTGTTCATCATTGTTTGTTTGCTCTTTAGTTCTTCTTGGTCCTTGTTAAGTGTATCTTGTATTTCCTCCATTCTATTTCCAAGGTTTTGGATCATCTTTTCCAAGATTTTGGATCATCTTTACTTCCAAGATTTTGGATCATTCATTACTATGAATTCTTTTTCAGGTAGACTGCCTATTTCCTCTTCATTTGTTTGGTCTGGTGGGTTTTTACCTTGCTCCTTCATCTGCTGTGTGTTTCTCTGTCTTCTCATTTTGTTTAACTTACTGTGCTTGGGGTCTCCTTTTCGCAGGCTGCAGGTTCGTAGTTCCCATTGTTTTTGGTGTCCATCCCCAGTGGGTAAGGTTGGTTCAGGGGTCTGTGTAGGCTTCCTGGTGGAGGGGACTTGGGCCTGTGTTCTAGTGGGCGGGGCTGGATCTTGTCTTTCTGATGGGCAGAGCCGTGTCTGGTGGTGTGTTTTGGGATGTCTGTGAACTTAGTAAGATTTTAGGCAGCCTCTCTGCTAGTCAGTGGGGTTGTGTTCCTGCCTTGCTAGTTGTTTGGCATGGGGTGTCCAGCACTGGAGCTAGAAAGCAGTTCATTATAGTTCAGAATATTAGTGTGCATTATGAGAGCCCCAGGAACTCTTCCCTAATCACTGTCTCAGGATCTGTGGACAGTAATTTTCCTGTGTCTCTTTAGTATCTGGCAAACTAGAAGCTCTTCAAATGAATACAGAAGGAGATTCTGAAGAGCTAACTTCTAGCCCACTATCTTATAATGGACAAGGTAACTATGAATTAAGAAAGAAAGGAGAAACCAAGTTCTGGTAAAGAGAAAAGGATGAGAAAGGGGAAAAGGGAGACTTAAAGGAAGAGTCAGGTGTAGGGAGGATAAATGAAAGATTTCAGAGGAAGAGGTAGAAAAAGTGGGATCAACAAGGGTTCAGAAAAGAGGATCACTAGGGGAATGAAAAGTCTTCATAATTCACAATTTTGGCCCAGGAGCAGAGCTACCAACATTTGGAAATGAGAAGTGTTCCTGTGTTATGTGTTTCTCAAAAGATGTGCCAGGAGGTCCAGAAGGAAATACTGAAAGTAAAGAAGCTAGTGACATGATGGGTAAGGCTACCTGAGTGTGGTGAGGTGGGGGTGGCTCCACTGGTAACACAGACGCAGGTTGGGTGGTGGCAGGTGGTCCAATCCTTCCCAGTATCCTGATCTCTGCATTTGCTTGACCTGATCCTTTTGGGAGTAGCAGGGAAGCAAGAGATCATTATAAAATTGTGTCTAAGGGATGGCCCATGTTGATTATATATGGATGATGTAGTAGAAATACACTTTTAAAAATGGCAGCATATTGTTTATTACATCAGTATATTACTAATAAAGCCTTGTGATTTACAATGTTTTCTATCCCTGTCACCCAAGAAAGTCAAGTGTATGTCCACTAGTAGATAATAGTGTCATTTCGTCACAACCTTAGAAAGTTCTCAAAAGATAACTAGTCCTGTCACTTAATTGTCAGGAGAAGAGACTTCAGATCAACAGTTCTTAACCCAGCACATATTTCTGATAGATGTTCTCCAGCATGTCACTTGTTTATATAGTGATCCTATTAAGTTTTGTACATAAGATCTTATTTAATCCTAACAAAATTCTTAAGAACTAGACAAATATCCCTGAGTAAACTGAAGTACATAGGTATTGAAGAATGTTTTTCAAAGTCCCATTAAGAAATAAAGGAAGACCCAGGGCTCATACTGGACTCTCACTTCTCAATTCAGTAGGTTTAGTTCCTTTAGAAGGAAGAGACAGATGATAACCCAAACATCTTTATAAATTCAAGGCTTTTGCAGTATGAATCATCCTAAGATTTATAACTTTTATTTATTCATTTTTGTTTCCTCACCACCTGTTTTTTCTAGATACTGCGGATCTTGGAAACAACTCTACTTTGGGAAAACTCAAGAGGAAAAGAAGTAAGAGTGCATACGATTTTACTTGCTTTTGATATTAAAATGAGTTTTTAAGCCCAGTTTCATTATTATAATTTATAATAATAAATATTAATAATATGACAGCCCCATAAAGATGTCTATATCCTAATCTCTGGAACCTGTAATCTGTTCTCTTACATGGCAAAAGGGATTTTACAGATATAATTAAGATAGGGACCTTGAAAGGGGCGATTATCCTGGATTATTGTGGTGCATCCAATATCGTCAAATGGGCCTTAAAAAATGAAGAAGTGTGTCTGGCTGTGAAGAGAGGGAGAAGCGATTATGGAAGATAGTCACAGAGAGATGCAATACTGCTGGCTTTGTAGATGGAAGGGAGGAAAAAGGAATATGGGTGCCTCCTAGAAGCTGGGAAAGTAAAAGAAATAGATTTTCCTCTGTAGCCTCCAGACAGGAATGAAGGCCTACTGAAACCTTGATTTTAGCCCAGAGAGACCCTTGTCAGACTTCTAACTGACACAAGTGTAAGATAATAAATTGTTTTAAGTCACTAAATTTGAGGTCATTTGTTATGGCAGCAATAAAAGAGTAATACAGAATTTTTGGTCATTGGAAGTGGGGTGCAGCTATAATGCATCCCTGGAAATGTGGAAGTGGCTTTGGAATTGGGCAATGGCCAGAGGGAAATTGGGTTATAAGAAGAACTTTAAGTAGAATGATAGAGAATGTCTAGATTGCCTTGAGCAGTTTGTTAGTAGAAAGGTGGTGCTGAAGACTCTGCTTGTGAGGACTTGGAAGTGAAGAACATGGTAGAGAAAACCTATATCATATTAGAGAATGTATAAATTGTCATGAAACCACTGTTAGTTTAAAGGTGTCACTGAAGGAAATAAGGAACATGTGTTTGGAAATTAAAGGAAAGGGGATCCTTATTATATAGTGGCAGAAAGCTCAGTGAAATTCTATCCTGCAGTTACGCGGAAAGCAGAATTTTCTGGATATATAGCTAAGGAGATTTCTAAGTACTATTATAAAGGTGCAGCTGGTTTCATGTTGCTGCTTAGAGTAAACTGTGAGAGGAAAGAGATAAGTCAAGGGAAGAACTGCTAAACAAAAGGAATAAGAACTTGATGATTTGGAAAATTCTTAGCCTATTCAGATTGCAAAGATGCTCATATTAAGAGTTTCATTGTCAAGAAAATGTGCTCTGCAGTGACAACCAAGAGTGTGGCTGTATAACTTTTTGCTAATGCCCCAGAAGTAGTGAAAATTCAGGGTATTCAGTCATATAAAATGTTCTTTGAAGAGATGAAGTTTGTGACCCATAGATACCTTCAGCCATCTCAGCAGAAGTGAAAAATAGATATGTGAGTATACAGGAAAGCATATCTGTAGAAGAGACTGTTGTCTAATGGAGGAGATCCCCATGACATACATCAGAGATTGATAAGGTTCTTGAAAACTTTATACCAACAGAAACAGAGATGTCCTTTTTCTAGTCCCTGGAACCTGTAATCTGTTACTTCACCTGGCAAAAGAGACTTCGATGGTGTGATTAAGTTAAGGGTTTTGAGATGCGGAGATTTTTCTAGATTATCTGGGTGGCCCCCATCAAATCACAGGGGTCCTTAAAATCAGAAAACCTTTCCTTCTATGGAGAGAGGGATATGTGACTATAGAATAATGATCAGAGAGACACAATGTGGCTGGCTTTGAAGATGAAGGCAGGGAGCAATGAGCCAAGAAATGTGGGCAGCCTTCAGAGCTGGAAAAGGTAAAGAAATGAATTATCCCCTACGGCTTCCAGAAAGGAACAGAGCTCTCTGGATTCTTTGATTTTAGCTCAGTGAGACTTATATTTTTTCAAAAATTTTGTTGTTTTTAAAATTTTAAAATATATGCTCTTTGTAAATTTTGATTGATATATATCTTTCCAGATTTTTCTATGCATGTATTAACACATTTATATCATATACTAACACATTATATCATAAATCTATTCTTACTGTTACGTTTCCCTTAGTTTAAATCAGTATATCATGCACAGACATTATAAACATTTAACATTTTGCCAAACTTAATTGTAAAAAGTTTCATTTCATCCTGCTTTAATTTGCATTGCTCTCATTTTTGTTGTGGTCGAACACTTTTCATTTGTTATTGGTTGTTTGTTTTCCTTTTTCTAAAAATGGCTGATGAAAATAAATAAATAAATAAAAATGGCTGGTGTGTAAGCCTTGCCCAGTATTGCTATCTTTTTTTTTACCATGCTGAACAAGCATAAGAATATATATATATATATATATATATGTATATATATATATATAAAATTTTGCCTATGTATGTGGTTAGTATTTTGTCTCATTTGATGTTATTCTCCTAGGCTTGTTTATAGCATTTTTTGTTCTAGAGAAATTTGAAAATTTTATGTAGTAAGATCTATCAGGGTTTTCCTTTACGGCTTCTAGGCTTTGTTTACAATGTACAAAGATATTTTCCATCTCAAGATTTTTAAAATATTTATATTTGCTTCTAGAATATTTGAAGTACTTAGTGCTTTTAAATGCTTAAATCTGTTATTCACATATGATTCACTTCTTTGTGTATGATGTGAGATAGTAATTACAAGGAATAACACCAACACTTTTTTTTTTAATTGAAGTATAGTTGATGTACAATATTATATGTTACAGGTGTACAATATAGTGATCCACAGTTTTTAAAGGTTAAATTCTATTTATAGTTATTATAAAATATTTGCTATATTCCGCATGATGTACAATATATTCTTGTAGCTTGTTTTATATCTAATAGCTTGTACCTCTTAATTCCCATCCCTATATTTCCCTTCCCCTCTTCCTTCTCCCCACTAGTAACCACTAGTTTGTTCTCTATATTTGTGTCTGCTTCTTTTTTGTTATATTCAACTACTTTGTTGTGTTTTTTTAGGTTCCAAATATAAGTTATATAATACAGTATTTACCTTTCTCTGTCTGACTTATTTCACTTAGCATAATTCCCTCCAAATCCATCCTTATTGCTGCAAATGGCAAAAATTCATTCTTTTTTATGGCTGAGTAGTATTCCATAGTATATATATATATATATATATATATATATATATATATATATATACACCACATCTTCTTTTTCCATTCATCTGTTGATGGACACTTAGGTTGCTTCCATATCTTGGCAGCGTAAATAATGCTGCTGTGAATATTGGGATACATGTATCTTTTCAAATTAGTGTTTTTGTGTTCTTTGGCTATATGCCCAGGAGTAGGATTGCTGGGCCATATGATAGTTCTATTTTTAGTTTTTATAGAAACACCCATAATTTTTTCCACAGTGGCTGCATCAACTTACATTCCCACCAACAGGGTAGGAGGGTTCCCTTTTCTCTACGTCTCTCCAACTTTGCTATTTGTATTCTTTTTGATGATAGTCATTCTGACAGGTGTGAGGTGATATCTCATTGTGGTTTTGATTTTCATTTCCCTGATGATTAGTGATGTTGAACATCTTTTCATGTGCCTGTGAACACCAACATTTTTTTCTTCATGATTTTAATGCCCTTTTGTGCCTTTTCCTGTATTCACAGATCTGTGTCTGACTCTACTCTGAAATGCTGGTCAGTTTATTTTATTTTTTTAAATAGATCTTTATTGGAATATAATTGCTTCACAATACCGTGTTATCAAGTCGGTTTAATTACAGTGTTTTAAAGTAAAATTTTCTATTCCTACTTCTTATACTTTTTTTTAAACAAAGAAAAAAAGTAAAAAAAATATAATGAGAAGCAAGAGAAAAGGAGGTTTCAGAATTTCAGTAATTCTGGCTCCCTCACTGTGCATGAATTTTAGAATCAATCAAGATTTCCTCTTAATACCTCCCCAACTGCATTGGAACTTAGAAAATACATTCAATTTGGAGATAAATTTGGGTAGAAATGAGGGTTTTACATGGAGAATGAGCTACTCATTTATTCAGATCACCTTTTATGTTCTTCAACAAAGTTTTAGTTTTTTAAATAGATCTTGCACATTTTTACTTTCCTTGTCAGCTTTATTGAACTATAATTTTCTATAATAGCACTCACCACTGTTAAGGTATGATTGGATGAGTTTTAACAAACTGACCTCATCAGTTCTTTAAAATTTGTTGAAAGTTCCTTTGCATCCTAATTTACGTCAATATTTGTGAATGTTCTGTGCCACTTAAAAATAGTGTGCATTGAACTATTTCTTGAGATCTGTCCTCTCCCCATAAACAGTCTTTATCAAGCACAACTTTGTTGTTTGGTTCTTCTAAATCTTCTAAAGTAGCTTCTATTCTTTCTATCAGGTTTGTATTTAGATGTGGTAAGTTCTCCCACATGGTTGTGTATTTGCCTCCTCACTACTCTGTTGTTTTACTTTAAATACTTTGAGGCTATTCATGACTGTATAACTTAGTGGATTTTTTCCTTTTATTATTATACAGTGTTCCTCTTTATCACTATTAATGCTTTTGATCTTAAATCTCTTTTTCAGGGTGCTGATAGTGTTCCATGAACTTTTATGTTTTATGTTTTTGATGTATTTTACTCCCTTTGCATTAAGCCTGTTTTTGCAGCTTTGTTTTAGGCCTTATGTAACAACACTTAGCTTTTTCTAAACTTCTCTAATAATCCTCATCTTTTAATAGTTAAATTTTATTTGTTTACATTTATTCTGATTCCTAATATATGTGGACTTATATATTCTATATCACTGTTCATCTTTATTTTTCTGTGTTTTTGTGTCTCTTTCCTACTTTCAAATGGACTGAGATAGAATTCTATATTCCACCTTTTTTCCCTGCTGGTTTGGCGATTAGAGATAAATTTCTGTAATCTTTTTAACCATGCCCCAATCCCCAAAGATGACAAGGATCTTAGCATGGATTCACTACAGGTTGACCATCCATCTCTACCATTTAGCTATTGTTTAACATTTTATTTTCTTTTAATTACAATTTTGAAACTATTAATATTATGATTTTTGCAGTTGATATTTACTTAAATTAAAAATTTTTTAAATCATTTTATGTACTCATCATTGTTTCTTTTCTTTGATTTTGCTTTTTGTCTAGCTGAATTAAATCCTTTGGTTCTTTTAATGCGTGGTCTCTAAGTGGTAAATTTTTCAAGTGTTGTATGTGCAAATTTGTCTTTTTTTTGATAGACCCAAGGTTAAAATTTCTAAGTTGACTTTTATTTTTCATTAGTAAAGTGTTTACTACATTGTCTTCTAGAATCTGTTTTATGACTGAATTCCTCTTTTATTGTGATTGTCATTTCTTGGTAAATAATCTGTCCTTTCTCTCTAAAAGCTCTTTCTCCAGCACTGAATCATGGAAAATGTAAATTTAGCGAAAACTTGGGAGAATTTTACAGTAAACACCAGAATACTTTAACATAGATTCACAATTAACATTGTACTATTCTTGCTTTATCAGATTTCTTTCCATCTATCCATTTCTCTATATATCCACTAACCCATCTTCAAGTTTGAAACATTTCAAAGTTGCAGATGTCAGTACACTTCTCCCCAAATACTTCAGCATGTACATCATTAACTAGAGTTCAATACTTGTTTGCAAGATAAAGTTTATAATGAAATGTACAAATACTAAGTGTACCATTGATGAGTTTTAATAAATGTATTCTCCCATGTAATCCAAATCCTTATCAGGATACAGAACATGACCATCATCATGGAAACACTTGTGCCCTTTCTGGTATATCCTTATCCCTCACTCATCAGTGGCAACCACTATTCTTATTTTTTTTCATGATAACTTAATTTGGCTTGGTATAAAACTTAATATATGATTTTAGAGCATGTTCTCTTTTGGTGTAAGGTTTATTCCACTCAGCATAATGTTTTTGAGATTTATCCATATTGTTGAATATATCAGTAGTTTGTACCATTTTGTTACAAAATAGGTTACATTGTATGGACTATACCATATTTTGTGTATACTTTCTTCTATTTACTGACACCACAAGTGTTTCCAGTTTTGGGCTAATATGAAAAAGCTGCAATGAACATTCTTGTAGAAACCTTTCTGTGGCTCTATGCCTTTATACCTCTTGTATAAATTCCTATAAATGGAATTGCTGAGATATAGGCTAGGTGCATCAGTTTTTTTGTCTCCTTAAACTCACATAGGGGTTAGTAATATGGCACACACAAGCTGCCCAAGTTGAGGAACACCCCCAGTCTTAGAAGGGGGTTACTAGCAAACCTGCACAAAACTTATCCATGAAGGAGGCATTAGCTGGAATTTAAGAAAATTTTACTATTCTGGAATATTTCTAAGGAGGGAGACATTCTCTATTTTATATTGGTCATGAAACAAATCTGCCCTCTGACCTGGAAGGCTACACTATCTCTAGCTTCCAAAACTATTAGCTGTTCAAACATCCTTAAAAAGATACTCTCAGCCATGTGGAAATGCCACAGAACCACCCTCCCCTCCCCCGCAACAAATTCACCTCACACATCAGATTCTGGCAAATTTCCCCATGAAGATACCGTTCCACCAGCCACCCTGATTAATCCAACCAATGTAGGCTAGGGCAAAGTCCATTCAATTTATTTCCTGCTGCATTTAACAAATTTCATAAACCATAAATGCCTTAGGTCTCTAATGACCACCCCTAAGGTGTAAGTCTCCACGTTTGTGTGAGAGAGGCAAGTGAATGCCTGGCTTTCACACAAGAAGTACAATCCCAAGGGCACACATGGTGCCCCTGGAAGGGAAACATTTACAGTGGTTGAGGTCCCCTAATGGGACATACATCAGCCAGGGGGAAGGGGGACAGTATCACCAGGGTGGGCCCCTGGCCAACTGTAAACCTTAAAGTTCCCAGTTCTGTTCATTGCGTCTAGTCCTTGATTTGGAGGGCAGACACTTCCTGAGGACAGTCCATCTGATCTGTCCTCTTTGTCCATGACACCAACCAGATGGTGTTCATTCTTCACCCCCCACCATAGAATGGCTGAGAATGGGGGTGGGGTGATGTCTGGAGGGATTCTGCATGGGATATGCAGATGCTGGGACCAGCTCCTTTTCTTGTATCTGGTGAATAGTAGATTCTGCATCTTTGTAGTGGGAGAGCTGTACCAAGCATTTTCCTTCTGGAAGAAGGATTCAGAGAAGTTCTGAAAGATGGATATTATTAATGTACCTCCATCCCCTGTACCTTCTAGAGCTTATGGGATTCCCTCCTCAGATGCCTGGAGTTTTCCTCTTCCTTCACTGCTGCAAAATATATGTATAACATTCCAGTGGCTGCGACTTCATATTTCTTTCCCAATCATTTCTTATTCCCACTCAGACCTTTCATTCAGAATAGTCAGATACAAGTGGGGCAAAGGCACTTTCATAAAATAACCGGAATTAAATCTGAATCCCTTAGGCCCTCCAAGGCTGTGCCTTCCAGGCTGGTTGGGGAAAGAATGAGGCATCATTCCCAGGAATGTTCAAACAGAATCCTGGATTTTCAGAATTGGCCTATATAATACCATTAACCCCTCACCGCTCTTGTCCTGATCATTATCCAGGAAGGAGCTGATCCCTTTCTGGAGACAGCTGCCTTCAGTAACCAAAGAGCCTTACAGAGGTGTATGGACAGGAGATGAGGGGTGTGGGCCAGATAGTCAGTGCATTGTGAAGAGCTCTTTTGTTAAAGGGCACATCACTGTCAGACTGCAGTGGTCCAGGCAGCCAGGCTCAAGATACCCATGACTTTCTAGGGTCACAATGGTACGGCCAGAGTCAGCTGGTCTGTAAGCAGAAGTATAGACCATGTTGCAGCATCACCCAGAACCCCAAGAGCATCTTGAAGTCTGGTCAGGCAGGAGCAGGTAGAGGCAAAGCCCCTTGCAGTGTGGCTCCCGCCACCTGGGACAAATGGGTCAGCTTCTAGCAGGAGTCACGAGCCTGGCGATCAGCCATAACCCCTGTATCAGAATCATGATGTCAGCCTCCGTCAGTAAAGACCAGGCACCTGGGCATTACCATGAGGGGCCCAGACTGGTCAATCAGCACCACGGTTCATTTCCACAGTCACTGCCCCAGAGATCGGTGTCCCTACTCTGCCAGTCTGTAGTTTTCCACATGGCCGACCAAGCATGTAGCTTATGTGCAAAAGCCCAGTCATCTGACTTCCGCCAACCAGAGGAGTGACCACATCCGCTTTGGTTCTGCCAAGCTGGCTCTGAGGCCAAACAGCCACAGTGGCCCAGTGGACTTCGGCTGTCAGCTTAGCCAAGCATCAGTGCACCAGGCCCAGGCCTCTGGGGAATCTTGGTGAATTGAAGACCTCAGTGAGGCTGAGATTTGCTTCAGGCTGTAAAGTAGAATAGAAAGCCAAGGTGCCACTGGGGCAGTCGCTGCATTCTCTTTTTTTCTTTTCTTTTTAAATTGAATTAATTGATTTACAATATAGTATTAGTTTCAGGTGTACAGCAAAGTGATTCAGTTATATATATATTTTTTCAGATTCTTTTCTATTATAGGTTATTACAAGATATTGAGTATAGTTCCCTGTGCTATACAGTGAATATAGCTTGTTGTTTATCTATCTTGTGTATAGTAGTAACTGTTAATCCCATACTCCTAGTTTGTCCCTCCATACTCCTTTTCCCTCTGGTAACCATAAGTTTGTTTTCTATGTCTGTGAGTCTATTTCTGTGTTGTAAATAAGTTCATTTGTATCATTTTTTAAGATTCCACATATAAGTGATATCACATGATATCTGTGTTTCTCTGACTTGCTTCACTTAATGTGATAATCTCTAGGTCCATCCATGTTGCTGCCAAATGTCATTTTGTTCTTTTTCATGTATGAGTAATATTCCATTGTATAGATATACCACATCTTTATCTACTTATCTCTTGATGCACACTTAGGTTGCTTTCATGTCTTGACTACTGTAAATAGTGCTGCTATGAACACTGGGGTGCATGTATCTTTTTGAATTAGAGTTTTCATCTTTTCCGGGTATATGCCCAGGAGTGGGGTTGCTGGATCATATGGTAGATCCAGCATTCTTGAATATAGCATTTCCATTTGAAGAGCAAGGCTTTTTGGCCCTTCCTGCCTTGTAAGTCAGCACTGAGCTACTTGCCCAGCACCAGTGGTCTTCCCACATTCACACATTTTCATATCACACACAAGAAAGCAAAACACAACACAAAATCCACTCTGTTTCCTTAAGTCCTCTGGGAATTTCAGGCACTATATTAAACATAAGTGAGAAGATTTGTGTTACAGCTGCAAGAATACAGAGATTATTTAATGGCAGTTCTCCATATTAAAGTTGAGAATGCCTCCCAACTTCAGAGCATTTGAATTTACATAAAAACACTTGAAAAGGGAACAAATTGATATTTGTTCAAGAGAAAGTCATCTCCTATAGTCTCCAAATCTACACAGGGTAAAATATAGCTCAAAATCAACCTCACACTGCTACACTGGTAGTTAAGAAATTTGCCCCATTCTTGTGAACTAAGGTCTGAAAAAAATACTTGAAGACTACTGATATATAAGGCTTGAGAATTATATTTACGGCTCTAAGTAATTAACTTTATTATGTTTTTTTTAAGAAAAAAAGAAAGGGCATTTCTGGA